GGGAGGGGCTTATGGAGGGATACAAAATGAATAAAGTGTAATTAATAAAAAATAAATAAAAGAAAAAAAAAAGACACACACACACACACACACACACACACACACACACACACACCACTTTCCTTATTAGGGAACCCACATGAAGACCACGCCGCCCATCAGGTACATATGTGTAGGGGGCCTACGTCCAGTCTGTGAATTTCGTTTTGCTCATCTCCATCACAAGTCAAAGTACAGCCACCTCGGTCATGCACTGTACTTTAGCTTTTTAATTGACTAAATGTTCCTCTCTTTTTGTTACTGTCATTCTTCCCACCATACAGCTAAGGGTTGGTGTGGGCATGCAAAGCTGATCTGCCGCTTCCTTTTCTCAATTGTTCCAATGCCTTTCTTTTCACTGATGCTGAGAAGCAAAGTTCTTTGGCGAGGCATCATCTGACTCGTCATTACTTACTGTCCCCACATTCTGTGCCTCTGTTACAGGGGTTTACTCCCCGTTCCTTCCCAGCTGGCATCATCATTCACAACATTCCTTCTTCATAAATGATCTTTTTTTCTATGTAAAGGGCAAACCCTTTACATAGTTACTGAACTTCCCTCCCCTTAAGACATTATAGTTTCCAAGACATATAATTTATTAATAGTTTTCTAGAGCGAAAACCCCTTATCTCATTAGATAAACATACAGCAACTAGAAACTAATATTGATTTTTTAAATGTTTAATTTTTAAGAGCTGTGACCCTTGTTATTAAGTAAACAGGTTCAGGAAGCTCTAACTTCCTTATAGATGGTTTATAATTCACTTTACTTTGTTTTCCTTCTTGTAATTACAATCACACAACTCCTAAATATTTGTGTCACCTGTCCGGATGTGAACCCTATGAGATTGTATTTACCATGAAGTCTTCTTGTCATGGAATAATGGCTAACCCAAAGCAATAATAAATGTGTATTTGTTGAATGAGTGAACACACTAAAAACTCAACTTCAGAGGGCTTTTGGTGTTGCCACAGGCTTCGTTGTTTTTCAGTATCTCTTGAAATGCAAACAAGAAAAAGAAAAAGAATGACAGAGGAAAAAAGCTTTTTAAAAAGTGAAAATGTGAGCGTGAAAGCTAGCCTATGAAGCTATGATAGGCACAGAATTATCAGGGCAGGGAAGCTGCAGAACAGAACTGAGCAAAGGCTGTTTGGTTTGATTTTTAATAAAGCTCTTGCGGCCTCTATTGGTAAAACGAAGAAATGCAGCGTCGGCAGCGAAGTGCCCATTTTTAAGTACGTTTTGGAATTAAGACTGAGTACCCCTGTCGTTTTTTTGTTTTGTTTTGTTTTGTTTGTTTCTTTGTTTGATTAAATGTCTTTATCGCTCCCACTCCATATGTTATATCCTCTAATTACTGTTAGTAAAGTCATTAGACCTGTATTATCCCAGAACTGAGGACAGACGGTTCCTGCATGCTGAGAGGTTGGGGCGTCACTATTGTATAGGCCAGATTATTTTAATGTTAAAGCGAGTGGTGGGGACCTGGCCATAACAAGATTAAGAAAGGAAGAAGGCAGACTCGCTCTCGGCACAGGAGAAAATAGAAGATTAAGACTACTTCTGCAACTTGGGAGAAAGAAAGTAGGGTGGGGGGCGGTGCCAGGGGATGCTCTTCTTGGATGGCGCGCGCGGGTTCAGCACCTCGGAAAGCACCCCCTCTCCCTGGATGGGGATTACGCATGCTCTTTGAGTTTCTCCGCCTAGACTTCTGTAGGTGCGACTGTAACTCTGTAATACTGGTAATTCTCTAGGAACTCACAACATCGGACAAGCAGAAAACACCAACAGACCTCCAGGAAGTGATGGCGTGAATCAACCTTGAGGCAGCCGGAGCGTGACACGGATTTTCAGGATCTGTGTTCCTCTAAAAAGAGAGAATCTCGTCACGGCAGAAGACAAAAAAAAAAAAAAAAAAAAAAAAAAAAAAAAAAAAAAAAAAAAAAAAGAAAAGAAAAGAAAAAAGAAAAAAGAAAAAGAAAAAGGTATTGGGAAGAGAAGGGGCCGGAGAACTGTGCTCTCGCGTCTAAGTGACAACTCAGTCTTATAGTGAGTTGCTGGAGACCCAGTCCTCGCCGGGAGGAGCCTTGATCCCCAGCCACTTTCCCAGAACTGCCCTCCTCTGCTCTAAACCGGTCAAGAACTGACCCTGAGCTCAGCTAACCAACCCCTGCGCCCAAGGCGTTTCTGGCCGCGGACTCCAGCGCCCAGTTCCCGGGCGCTGTCTTCAGCCGCTTCTTCAAAAGCTCAGGCTTCTGCTCCACGCGCCAGCCTGGGTACCACCTCCGCAGCAAGGGGAGCCTCCGGGGAAGCTGGCCCTCAGAGCATGACCCAGAGGCACCTGCGCGCACAGGTGGCTTCTGCAGCCACCGCAGCCACCATGAGCAAGGCGGCGGCGGGCGATGAGCTCTCAGAATTCTTCGGGCTCATCCCAGACTCGCTGGAGACTGCCAACGGGAGCGGCAACGCGTCGCGGCAGCTTCCGGGTTCGTGGTTGGGGCTGGGGCTGGAGTTGCCAGACGGTGCGGCGCCCGGGCATCCTCCGGGCAGCGGCGGGCCAGAGGGCGCGGACACTGAGGCCAGAGTACGCATCCTCATCAGCGCGGTCTACTGGGTGGTGTGTGCGCTGGGACTGGCTGGCAACCTACTGGTTCTCTACCTGATGAAGAGCAAGCAGGGCTGGCGCAAATCCTCCATCAACCTGTTTGTCACTAACCTGGCGCTGACTGACTTTCAGTTCGTGCTCACTCTGCCCTTCTGGGCGGTGGAGAACGCACTTGACTTCAAGTGGCCCTTCGGCAAGGCCATGTGTAAGATCGTGTCCATGGTGACTTCCATGAACATGTACGCCAGCGTCTTCTTTCTCACCGCTATGAGCGTGGCGCGCTACCACTCGGTGGCCTCGGCTCTTAAGAGCCATCGGACCCGAGGGCACGGCCCTGGAGACTGCTGCGGCCAGAGCCTGAGGGACAGCTGCTGCTTCTCAGCCAAGGTGCTGTGTGGGTTGATCTGGGCTTCTGCCGCGCTGGCCTCGCTGCCCAGTGCCATTTTCTCTACCACCATCAGGGTGATGGGAGAGGAGCTGTGCCTCGTGCACTTCCCGGACAAGCTGCTGGGTTGGGACAGGCAGTTCTGGCTGGGTTTGTACCACCTGCAGAAGGTGCTTCTGGGCTTCCTGGTGCCACTGAGCATCATCAGTCTGTGTTACCTGCTGCTGGTGCGCTTCATCTCCGACCGCCGCATAGTGGATGGAGGGACAGCAGCAGCAACTGCGGGAGGCCTGAGTGCAGCCAGCGCTAGGAGAAGGTCCAAGGTCACCAAGTCGGTGACCATTGTGGTCCTCTCTTTCTTTCTGTGTTGGCTGCCCAACCAGGCGCTCACCACCTGGAGCATCCTCATCAAGTTCAACGCCGTGCCCTTCAGCCAGGAGTACTTCCTGTGCCAGGTGTACGCCTTCCCAATAAGCGTGTGCCTGGCGCACTCCAACAGTTGCCTCAACCCGATCCTCTACTGCTTAGTGCGCCGGGAGTTCCGAAAGGCTCTCAAGAACCTGCTGTGGCGCATAGCGTCGCCTTCGGTCACCAGCATGCGCCCCTTCACCGCCACCACCAAGCCAGAGCCTGAGGATCACGGGCTGCAGGCCCTGGCGCCGCTTAACGCTGCAGCAGAACCAGACCTGCTCTACTACCCGCCCGGGGTGGTGGTCTACAGCGGGGGTCGCTACGACCTGCTGCCCAGCAGCTCAGCCTACTGACACCTGCCAAGCCTCTAGAAGACCCAAGGAGAAGGCGAAGGGAGAGCAAGTTTGGAGGCTGGAGGAGCAGAGTGGAGAAATAGGTAGGAAAGGCTTGCTGGAAAGAGCATTGTAAAAGGGCCAGAGGATGGTCTCTGCAGAAACCAGGTTAAGAGGGGAATATCTGCAACAGGAGAGAGCCAGCAGCCTCAGCTCCTGCTCCCCACTCTCTATTCCGCGTCTTCTACTCCAAGCCCCGCTCTCCCTGTCTCCAGCCGCCATGTGCGCGCGCGGAACACCATGGGACACCCGGAAGCTAGGAAAGGCACTGAGAAGCAGAGGGGATGAACCGTGTAGGAGTTGGGCTGAGCCAAATGATGTCCAATCACGAGATCATTAGGCCCAGCGACTTTTATGAGGAACTTTATGCAGCCTCAAGCAGAATCCAGCCAGGAGAGTTGCCCACAAAGCCTTTCTTAGGCGCTCTGAGCTGTGAAGACTGTCCCAAGCAATGATCTAACTTGCTGTAACCACCTGGGAAAGAAAACGAGAGCTGGAACTCTGGTATCCTTTATAATCCTGGGCAGTGCTAAGGAGCAAAAGCTGAGCCTCTGCTGTACCCCTGAGTTCAAATGTCACCTGCAGTCTCTAGGAAGTGGCATGAGATGCAAGAGAGAACACCGTGATTTGAGGAGGTGAAATAGAGAAAACTTTTAAAGATGCAGCCCCTAAAGGAAAGGGGGTGGAGTGGGGGACTGGTTAAGTGAGCCAGAAGTGTAGTCTTTCCTCTGGAAGCCTGGGCGCCCAGAATCTCCTCAGGACAGTCTGGATACCTGACAGGCTGGTCTGTTCAGGCAACGAGGTAGCAGAGCACCCTGAAAAGCTCTGCTGAGAGTGGGGGCGCTTCAGCAGCACCCCCTTACTCTCTGGAGTAGGCTGACGGGGATGAGAAGAGGTGGCTCGGTGTTATTTGGGCTGTAGGAGCGCAGGAAATGCTCGCTGTTATGTAGGATCTGGAGATCGATCTTTCAAAGTGGAAATGAGGATTCAAATAAAATCTGTCCTAAGGGGAAAGGAAGAGGCTGTTCTCATGGGCATCACCAAAATATTATGAGAAAAGTTATGTAACTAACAGAAGAAGGTGAGACTCAGCATTTGAATAGGTCACCCACCATAACCAAGTTCCAGGGACTCCTGGATGTTTTGCTCGTGGGGTAAGCAGGGCAGAGGCAGGACAGCCTCTGAAAAGTGAGTGCCCTCCTCATGACAGCTCAGTTCTAGTGACAGTCTGAGATCTTCAGGTCTTGCAGACTCCTTGAGACCGTTCTGATAACTGAGATGAAATGTTAGCCTACCTGACTGCAGTCCTCTTTGGCTTGGTCTTGGGTTAAGAGGCTGGTAAAGCAGGCACCTCACGTTGCTGGTGTGGTCACTTTAACACAATAAGGAACCATTAGAAAAACAACTCTGCTTAAACAGCCTCCTGAACTATAGGGCTGTTGGGAATTTTGTCAAAGCTGTACTGTACTGTGTGAGACTTAAAGACACCCCTGTCGTCAAAGCCATGTTGTGTGTAACACTGTTATGGATACTCAGATGTCTTGCCGAAAAACGAACAAACCCTGAGGCTTTGTTTCAAAGCAGTCATATTAGTTCTCTGCTGCCCTTTAGCATCCTTGATACTGGTATTGCCTAGCAACTAGACCAACAAATATTGGAATGTGAGCCCCTAATGCTCATAGAGGGATAGTTTTATGTCAATTTGACACAAGCTAAAGCTATCTGAAAGGAGAATCTCAATTAAGAAAATGCCTCCATAAGATCCAGCTGCAGGGCATTTTTTTAATTAGTGATTGATTTGGGAGGGCCTAGCCCATCCTTCACAGGTGAGGCCGACTCTGGGATGGTGGTCCTGGGTTCTACAAGAAAGCAGGCTGAGCAAACCATGGGGGAAGCAAGCCAGTAAGCAGCAACCCCCCCCCCCATGACCTCTGCATTAGCCCCTTTATTCATGTTTCCACCCAGTTTGAGTCCCCATTCTGGCTTCCTTTATTAATGGACTGTAATGCAGAGGCAGGAGTCAAATAAAGCCTTTCATTTCCAATTTGCCTTTTGGCTCATGGTGTTTTGTCACAATAGAAACATGCTCCAATGTACAAAATAAAGAAAAGGGTCCACCTAAGAGGAAACAGACTATACCATATCCATGTCCAGCATTGGTATTAGACTGGGAGATTAGAGTCACTTACTATTTCAGTTTTGACAGTACCATTATTTGACAATAACTCAGATTCAGCACACTTAAGAAAAGGTTACGGACATATGTGTTTCTGCTGCAGGCATTACAGATAGATACTGGGCTGGGACCAGGTCTTCAAGTAAATCTCTGCAAAATGAGTCGCTTTGTCCAAATTCTAAGAGGGCTTCAGAGAACACCAGAGAGAGAGAGAGAGAGAGAGAGAGAGAGAAAGATAAAAAACTATGGATTCAGTCTACTCAAAGACAGAACAACAGGAGATGGTCAAGCAGCCCTCTGTGTGCCTGTGTTCAGGGTATAATCCAGACACAGTCCAGATTTCACAGGACAAACAGCCGGATCCCCAAGCGAGACAAAGCAGAGAACAATGCTTTGGTTGTCACAGTGAGGCTACAATAAAAGAGAGGGCATGGGGATCCAGGGGGTGGTGTGAGGACAGATTCTGCTGAGGGGTCCTGTTTTGGTCAAGACAGTCTAGAGAATATAGATGCAGTGTTGACCAATGATGCTGATGGGGAAAAGGGAAAGCAGATAGATTAGGGAAGCTGGAAGCTAACAGTGTACCTTCCGTTTATCCCTCAGGCGTTCCCTGTATTTCTACTAAAGATGTTTACATCTCTATGTTAATTTTATTTGTCTTGAGGTTAAGATTTTGCTGGGTTTTTTTTTTTTGTTTTTTGCTTGCTTGCTTGTTTGCTTGTTTGCTTGTTTGCCAGAGTGAATTTCATTTGCCAAAGAAAATAAAATTCTGGTTTTCCAGAAGTGGTTAAAGACTTTTAAATTTTTAATTATGTCCACTTACCCAATCTTTAATGGAATTGAGTTCAATGGGTAAAATATTTGGGGTGGGGGAGAAAGAGAGAAAGGTAAATAGAGACAGAATAGAGAGACAGAAAGACAGACAGAGATTGCTCTAGCTCCTTACCTCAGTACTCTACCAAATGTTGTAAATTCAACATCATACATGGGTATAGTAATATGTGTTTTTCTCTCTGTACTAGGCTTCTCCCGGAAACTGTGTAGTTTGATCACTTGTAGTAATAAAGGCCATGCCCTGTGGCTGGTCAGTGGTGGCTATGCTTGACTTCTTTAAGGTTCAAGTAGGAAGGCCCTCAGCTGTAGGGTATATTCCCATCTGTCCCATTCACTCATCCATCCATCCATCCATCCATCCATCCATCCATCCATCCATCCAACCATTCATTCATTTCCATGCCTTCAAAGACCAAAACAGCCCTTGAAGTTATGCTTAAGAATTACATGGAACTCCCCAGGTTCCACGTAAGCCTCCGAGGCAAGTGTAAGCAGGGGGAGCAAGAGACGTGGCTTGGTCAGCTTCTTCTATCATACTGGGAGTTAACAAGGGACCTCTGGGAAGCTGTTCCTCACTGTCTTATGCCACAGAATTCAGAACAGGTGCTTTCCACAACCACACTTCTAGTCCTTCAGATTCTCAGTTCTCCAACACAGACCACCAGTGGATGGGATAAAAACTAGAACACTTGTGGGAACTTTGTGTATGGCCCCTAAGAAGAGGAGATGATTTCTTTTGTGAGTTAAGGTACTAACAGAATGCAAGGAGACACGGACTGAGGGGTGGCAAATCAATGTCACCCATGTGGGGAATAAAAATTGAGCAAGGCAACATGGAGAATGATGACTGAAACAGTAGCACACTGGGGTCAAAGCCCAAAGCCCACATCCTGAAAAAATGGGGATCCAAAGAGAATGGGTTAACATGCCGGGTACCTGCCATCTGATAAGAAAGGTTTATGTCCTGCAGATGACAAGGGAGAGTGATGAGGTAATAAAGAGCAGCAGATAGGAAACAGCAGTTACCTTAGGATATGCCCCACCCCCCAACCCTCCAGCTACTGTCCACAGTTACTGTGTATGCACTAAGACTGGCCAGAGGCACAAGAGTGCTCCAGGTCTCTGCCTTGCTCAGCTACGGAGCAGCAGTGGATGACAAGCTTTTTATCTATGAAGGAGACCTTTGGAGGAATTGCAGCAAGAAGGTGGATGTCGGGGCAGTAGCAGAAAGGAGAGACCGGGTATAAGAAAACAAGGACGCAGCCCTGGGGTGTGAGGGGAGCTGAGGGTGGCTGTTGCGATGGCTGTAATGTGTTAGCATGTGCGCAAGGACTGACTAACGTTAGAATGTGAGACAGAAACAACAATGAAGACCCGGCCTGCGGCCACACCATTCATCCTCTTGCTCTGAGCTCTGAAAGTGTTGGAGTTGGGCCTGCTCCCTTCACGCAACTGAGCAGAGGAGGACACAAGGTCCTTTGCAGAAAAGCCCAAACATGCCTCCCCTTCTCCAGACTGCTAATCTAAAATGACCTGAGAGTACACATCCATTCTACGGTACCCAAGAGCAATATCCCAACTCCCAAATAACCGCACTGAGGGGGGTAGGTAGCTCGTCACCTGTTCCAAATTCCCTTCTACCAGGGAAAGATTTGGTCAGTGAGAAACCCACCAGGAGCAATGACTCTACCAGACTCTAGGATGAGAAAGGAAATGGAAACTTGTAATTTTTATCTTTCACATGTGAAGGCATGTGAACAAATGTCCTTTCTGCATGAGCCAGTAACATTTGAAGTCATACAGATGACACCTAAAGCCTGCAGAAAACTTAAGAAGAGGGAGCTGGTGATGAGGTTTTCCAGCAATGACCAGGGCATTAATTGAGCACTGACTGCATGCCAGCCACCTGCGCCTGTGCTGAAGCTCTGAATTGAAAGCCCAGCTCTGCCACTTATGAGCCGTGTGGCTTTGATGAGCTACCCAGTGGCTTTTTGCCTCAGTCTCCTCATCCAGATGTGAAGAACAGCCACAGCATCCATTGTCAAAACTGCTGTGGCGATGAAGTTTAAACCTCTGCAGTAAAGAGAGGCAATCACAAGGGTTACATACTAGTTGTCACTGCGCTCTGAGGATGGAATTCACCGTACCAAGTGCATACATGAGCATGTGTGGTTTGGAGATGTCAAAGACTGTGCTGCTGAGTACCAAACAACCAAATAACCCAAATAACCACGCCGAGAGGGTTCAGAACCAGCCAGGCGATAAAGCTCATTGTTGATTTTCCTATTAAATGATATGGTCTCTCGGCGTGGTCTCAATGCAACCTCATCGGGCTGCTAAAAATTCCCTGCATTAAGCCCACTGAAGGATTTAGCTAAGGAAAATGTGCTTAACTGAGGATGAGACGGAATATCAATTCCTGAGAAACCCAGGAATTGCTTCTTGAAAGTGTCAGTGCCACAGGATGAAGCGAAGGTACAGACTCAAGAAAAATATTTTTACTGCATTGATGAAACAAATGAACATTTTTCAGTTGCACAGCTTCCAGAATGAGACATTTGAGGCAGACTTGTTAAGAATGCCATACATTAACAGGAATTAATGGTGAGCAAATTAAATCTGAATAAATCAACACCATGAAAGAAGCAACCTGCAATTATTTTAAGTATTTTTAAACAATTTAAGCAATTATTTTAAGTATTTCTGAATTTGATGAAATATTTCCCAATGGTACAATAATTACTGTTTAAAATTATGTTAGAAGCATCACAAGTAGGATTGATTTGCTCCTCAGATGTTCTCAAGGCTTGACATGCCCCTTGAGAAGCAGAACTTGACTTTCCTATTTCTGCACTGAGGGACAGTAAGGAAGGTGCAGTGGGTCAGACAATCCCATCACACTCACCTTTCCCCATGTGTGCACGCACGGTGAAATTCCAACATAGGGCATACAGGCCCCAAAGCTGAAGAGCCCAGGAAAAGATTGAGCTCTTGCCATGGGCTTTATTTGTCTGAGGTTTGGGTCTGTGTCTCCTTATAAACCTAATCTATGTATCTAACAAAGAGGGCCACAAAGCAACAGCCTATGAAAGCCACTGCAGAGGCTGTGATCACCACGACAACGACACTCCCAGCCATGTTGACCAGGAAGCCCAGGCCACCTCCAACCAAGATCTGAGCCAGCTGCACCATGCAGGTGAGAGCCGCGCAGTCCACTCCTTTGCCTCTCCCACAGTTGCTAGGAACTCCTGGGGCTTCCTGCTGCATCTGCAAGGGAAATACAGGAATAGCAATTAATGTACAAGACACCTCCACACAGTCAGTGTACACGAGTCAGTGTACTTTTTCCCTGACAAACCCAATAGTAAATAAATACCTCTGTGCTTCCTAGGATCTTGGTTGTAACTATTTGACTCTGCTCTCACAGCTCAAGAAAGATAAGAACAAATTGCATTCCAACACAATCTTATGTGCATTAGTGTGAGATTTCTTGTTATTTTTAGGTATCACAAAATAGCATCTTTCTTTAATATTTTTTTTCAATCTTTGACAAACTTAAAGGGATTCTTATCTTATAAACCATTGAAAAGCAGGCAGCAGGCTGCCTTTAACCAGCAGACCAGTTTGCTAATTCCTAACTGAGGGACTCTGAGAATTCCATTGATGCTGTCTTCCTTATACGCCAGGAAGCTTTTTCAGCCACGATTAAGGAATATATGGCTTAAACATTAATATAGTCAGAATTCTCTTTGTAAGAAGTAAATAAATGCAACATTGCAGAAACTCAACAATCTTTTCTCCTCCCTGGTATTAAAAAATCAAACATTTTCAAAAGAATGCTAAGTTACTTTAAACATAGGAGAAGCAAAGGTTCAACCCCTTCACAGCATGGTTATTCATGGTAGATACATGATATTTGACTCCAATTGGTTCACATTGCCATTTGTTGTCTCTTACATGCTAGGCCTTGTGCAAGGCTGTTTTGCAGTTAGGACCTTAATTTGTCATTAGCACCAACTTAGCTGCAGGTGTTACTGTCACTATTCCTATGACACTAACTATCTTTGGAGTCCTGTGAGCTATTAAGTAGGCACTATGATGAACACAGTATATAATTCATGTTTACTTTCCCACGTGCTCCATGTAGTAAATATTATTCTCACTTGATTGATAAGGATATCTGGTGTTTGAATGATCATTCTCACTACTCTTAAATAAAATAAGCCTTGTGGAGAAAAATGAATATTACCTTCTCAATAAAAATAGGGAAATATGAAAACACATTCATGCTTGCTTGATATTCATTTAGACGTTTAAAAACAAATTAAGAAATTTAAAAATTAAATTTTTTAAATTTAAAAAAATCTATCAAGAGTGAAAGCATGGCCTACTAGGGTGGGGTGTAGACAGAAGAAATTCAGAGGGAGAGACCTCACAAGAACAGTTTGTACATGAACCTCATGAGACTATAACCTCCTGTAAAAGTGAGTTCATTTTAAGTGCTGCTTAATGACTAAATGAATCACATGGTCAGTGTCACACAGCTTCAAGGAGGTTGGGGAGGCAGAATTTCAGTCTAGTTTACTTTGACTGAAAATCCGTTTGTTTGTTTTTCTGTACTTTGTGTCGGGTCCAAAGGAAACTCCAAACTCTGGGGTTAGAAAAAAGTTAGCATTCCTCAGGAACTTGTAAAACTGATTTCCTCTAGCAAAGGAGCCATTTCCCTTATCACTGGCAGAAGGGACAAATGGCTACTTGTGGTGACTATTAGCATACCAAAGTGGATGCTGGCCTCCGGATTTTCTCAGGATCACAGTACCTGCTATAGATTGTGGAGTCCATGTTATCTAACATGCTAGCTCTTCTGACCTCCTTCCCTACTCTAAACTCCTCCAGCTTCCCTCCTGCCAGCAACTCATTCTCCTTATAACCCTGCTATTTTGGCTATGCTCATTCCTTTGTTTGCTCTCTCTTTGTCTGCCTCTCTGTCTCCCTCATGCCCCTTTCTCTGCTCTCCCATGCTCAGTCTGGTAGCTATGTTCTACTACTTTCTCTCCCTGGACTCTTCCGGATGCCTCTGGCTGTTCTCAGTATCATGTTTACAATAAAAACCTTCTCCTCAACCATACCATGGAACAATCATGTCATCAGTTTATAGATTTTGATAGCAGTAACTCCAAAAGAGAAAGGCTTCTCTGGTGACTGTTTTTTAAAGAGCGGCCCCTCCCCATGATGCACTGCAGCTTTTACTAGGGGATAAGGACAGTCCCTACACTTGCTTAAAAGGTCTCAGCTCCTGGTGCAGCTCTGCCTTGCTGCACCTACCCAAATCAAATGATGCCAACAAAAGATGAAATTAAGTCACTTTGACTCATGCTTGGCGTCTCATTGACTTGCACTCAGCACTTTACAGTTTCAGGCTGAGATGAACTGAACTCATGGTTCCCACTTTAGATGTTTCATCATTGCTTCACTTGAGGAAGCAGAAGACAGTTTTAACAGAGAGAGTGTTGTACATTTTTATCAGAAGGGGCAACCATTCTAGAACAGAACTACCCATACTTCTCATTGTCAGCTCCAAAGGAAATTCTAATTCTCCAAACTTCAAAATGCAATGTGTATGTCCAGAAAAATAGCAGTCTAGGCCGAGCTTGGGCTAGACTACAAAAGGATTTCTGCTTGCTAAATAAAAAGGGAATTTGCTAAACAGTTTACTCTCTGCCAGAAGGAGTCATTTCCCTTGTCTCTGGCAGAAGGGACATATGGCTCTCCATTAACATATATACCTGTGGTTATGTACCTAAGCCCATGAGGGCCTAAAGTTGTTATTCATATAGGGCTCTTATAGTCGTTATTCATAAGTACCCATAATACATTTCAAAGCCCCCATCCTGCCCCCACCCCACATATACACACCTGTCTCTACCTCATACCCTAGGCCTGCTCTAGTTCATGGGTTTCCCTCAGTCCAGCTACTCATTCCCCATATAGCCTTCTACTTTCCCTGTTCTATTTCTCTTGATATTCTTGGCTTCCCTCCTGCTTCCCTAGCCTTGGCCATGTCTTGTCCAGTTGTTTTGTTTTCTTTTCTTTTTCTCTCTCTGCTATGAACTCTTCTAAATGACTGGATATTTTCTCCCTCTTATCCACAAAAACAAACAAACAAACAAACAAAAACTTCCTTAATGATGGAGCAACCATTTCAGTGGCTTCTTTACCATACTCCTTGATTACACCATGAGGACCACTTAAGGTCATAACATGCAGACTGAATTCCAAGCCATAGGTGGGTAGCACCTCTATCCAGGACGTGTGGTAAGGATCAAGTCTCAGCTCTAGCCTATCACCCCGAGAGATGCTTCCATGCTTCTCTGTAGTGCTTAGACCAGGGAAAGCATCACTAGACATGTTCCTAGACCTGCAGGGATGAACCAGAAAGCCCCATAGAGTGTTTGCAGAAGACTTTGGTCCCCCTTCCTTTGTCTCAGTCTGACCATGGACTGGTTTCTAAGCACAGTAAGCCCACCTTCTTTACTCAGATCCTTGGGAGTCACTATCATTGTCATGTAACTCAAAAGGTACATCGGGTTCACAGCAAGGAGAGAAGAACCTGGCTAGGTTTGTAGTCTTGTCTTCATGGCTATGATAGTTTAAGCACCCTTCTGCCAAATTCCTCCCTTCCCCCATCCTTCAGGTAAATTCCCTTTGTCACCCACCTCCTTTTCCTCCTCACGGTGATACTCGGCAATGAGGTTAAAGGGCACGGTGTACAATGTGCTGGACATCACACCAAACATGGAACAGAGGACCAGGGTAGAGTAGACATTTGGAAAGAGTCCTATGAATCCCGTTCCCAGGCCAAAGAGCAAATAGCCCATGAAATAAAGGCCCTTTAATCCAATGTAGGAAACCATAGCTTTCTGAAAGTCTGTAGAGAGAATAAAGGGGACAATTACATCTGGCAATGCCTCAAAATAGCTAATAACTTCAGATAATCCTTTCTTTTGAAGATGCACGTTTCTTTTTTAGACAACTTCCTTTGATCCTGAGTCAGGAACAAAACACCTTCTTATCTGTGTGCCAGAAACAGCTGGCTTTGGGGATCAGTTTTAAATCCTTTGCATAAAAGACAGCATGAAATTGCATTACTGCTTCTATTCTCCATAGAGGAGAACCAGGTACTGTTTAGCAGCCATCCAAATAGCAAATGAATGTAAAAAGAAGAGGCAGAAAAGCAAGCCTTGGTGATGGGACCCAGTGATGAAAGACATAGAGGAAGAATCATGTTCATTCTGATGAGAGAGCTCTAGCCCAAGAGGGCGCAATGGTCAGGATATGCTTATCCTGACCCCACCACTCAATATCAGCTTAGGGCTATTAAAACAGCCAAGTTTCTCAGAATGATCCAAGTCATTCTTAGTTTCCTAGCCACAACCTGAAGGCAGTCTGTACAGGTAAGAAAGATGTGAGATTTTCTGTGGACATTTCCCTGTCTTGTCAATCCTGCAAAGGCTGTGAAGGGGCTCCCCCAGTTCCCTACCATCAGGTCCTTCACTGAGATAAATTTCTTAATTGTGCATCATCTAGCCTTCTTACCTAAAAAAATGGGAATAAAATACAGTTCTTTGCAGTGGAGGTTGTTAGTCAGGAGAAAATGAGGCAAAAAATATTTGAAATCATCTGGACCAATATAGGACACATAGATGATATCCAATTAGTGTGACTATTGCTATTTTACTGACTTCAAAGTGGGACAAAGGTAGTTAACTTTGACCGTGATTTTCCTCCTAGCATATATTTGCACTTACAAATATATGGAAAGAGTTATCTCCTCTACTTTAATCTATCAGATCATGTGAATCAGACTAAATGATAGGTGCTTGAGAAGTGCCTATTAAGAATGAAATGTTGCTTAGCCACTGGAATTATTATTGGACTTACACTTCACAGACCAGAGACAAAATCTGTATTACATTTGAATCAATTCTGAAACAAAACACTGTCTCAGGTTATTGGATGGAAGACTAGCAATAGAAATGACAAGCAGACGGCATTACTTCCCGTATTAAACGCATCTCGTCTGGAGTGCTGCTGCTAAGGCTGGAGAATAGAAGCAGTACAAAGCTAGGTGAGTTTTATAATAGTCCTGACAAGCCTGTTTGTTTCATGACTTCTAGTTACACAGAAAATTCAGTCTAAGGTGTTTTGGTGCTCAAAGATATCACCAATGCAGCTTTTGTCTAGGTGTATAGGCAAGCCAAGGAAGCAAAGGAAGATAAAGAGATATTTGGACACACCCATAACATCAGTACAAAGGCTGAGAGTCTGATGAAAATTGTTTTATCCATGAAGAAAAGCCAATACATTTCTTTTTTTTCATATTAATGAATTGCAGTTTTATTTTTTTATTTTTTATTTTTTTGAATTTTATTTTTTCTTATCAGTTACATTTTATTAACTCTGTATCCCAGCCGTGTCCCGATCCCTCATTCCCTCCCAGTCCCTCCCTCCCTCCCTCATCTCCACCGTGCCCTTTGCCAAGTCCACTGATAGGGGGGACCTCCTCCCCATTCATCTGATCTTGTTTTATCAGGTATCTTCAGGACTGGCTGCAAAGCTCTCCTCTGTGGCCGAACCGGACTGCTCCTCCCTTGGGGGGTGGGGAGGCCAAAGAGCCAGTCATTGAGTTCCTGTTAGAAATAGTCCTTGTTCCCCTCACTATGGGAAACCAATTGGTTACTGAGCTACCACAGGCTACATCTGAGCAGAGGTTCTAGGTTATATTCATACATGGTCCTTGGTTGCATGTCAGTCTCAGAAAAGACCCTGTGCCCAGATATATTTGGTCCTTGTGGAGCTCCTATCCTTTCCTCATCAGACTAACTCCCCTTCTTTCTTATGATTCCCTGTACTCTGCTGAAGGTTTGGTCATGAGTCTTTGCTTTGAAAACACTGCTAGTTAGAGTCTTTCAAATGCGCTCAGTAGACTCCTGTCATATGTTCAATGCGCATCCCATCTGTCTTTCTAAACGAGGATTGATCATCTTACCCCATGTCCACTCTCTTCTATCTTTTTTAGGTGTATAGATTTCATTATGTTTATCATATTTTATAGGTATATATAAATGAGTATATACCGTGTTTGTCTTTCTCCTTCTGGGATATTTCACTCAGGATGATCTTTTCTAGATCCCACCATTTGCCTGCAAATTTCATGATTTCCTCCTTTTTGATTGCTGAGTAGTATTCCATTGTGTAAAAATACCACAATTTCTGTACCCATTCCTCCGTTGATGGACATCTGGGTTGTTTCCAGGTTCTGGCTATTACAAATAAAGCTGCTATAAACATGGTTGAGCAAATATCCCTTTTGTGTACTTGAGCAAACTTTGGGTATATACCTAGCAGTGGTATAGCTGGGTCTTGAGGAAGCACTATTCCTAATTGTCTTAGAAAGCACCAGATAGATTTCCAGAGTGGTTGTATCAGTTTACATTCCCACCAGCAGTGGAGGAGGGTTCCCCTTTCTCCACAACCTCTCCAGCATGTGTTGTCCCTTGAGTTTTTCATCTTGGCCATTCTGATGGGTGTAAGGTGATATCTCAGGGTCGTTTTGATTTGCATTTCCCTGATGGCTAATGAGGATGAGCATTTCTTTAACTGTTTCTCTGCAATTCGATATTCCTCTGTCGAGAATTCTCTGTTTAGCTCTGTTCCCCATTTTTTAATTGGATTACTTGGTTTGCTGCTTTTCAGCTTCTTTAGTTCTTTGTATATACTCGATATTAGTCCTCTGTCAGATAAAGGGTTAGTGAAGATTCTTTCCCAATCTGTAGGCAGGCGTTTTGTTTTGATGACAGTGTCCTTTGCTTTACAGAAGCTTTTCAGTTTCATGAGGTCCCATTTATTGATTGTTGCTCTTAGAGCCTGTGCTGTTGGTGTTCTGTTCAGGAAGTTGTCTCCTGTGCCAATGAGTTCAAGGTGTTCCCCAATTTTTCTTCTAACAGATTTAGAGTATTTGGTTTTATGTTGAGGTCTTTGATCCACTTGGACTTTAATTTTGTGCAGGGTGATAAATATAGATCTATTTTCATTTTTCTGCATGTGGACATCCAGTTGGACCAGCACCATTTGTTGAAGATGCTGTCTTTTTTCTATTGAATGGTTTTGGCTTCTTTGTCAAAAATCGAGTATTCATAGGTGTGTGGGTTTATTTTTGGGTCTTCTATGTGGTTCCATTGATCCTCCTTTCTGTTTTTATGCCAATACCATGCAGTTTTTATTACTATTGCTCTGTAGTACAACTTGAGATCGGGGATAGAGATACCTCCAGATGATCTGTTGTTGTACAGGATTGTTTTGGAGATTCTGGGTTTTTTGTTTCTCCATATGAAGCTGAGAATCTTTTTTTCAAGGTCTGTAAAGAATTGAGTTGGTATTTTGATGGGAATTGCATTGAATCTGTAGATTGCTTTTGGCAGGATGGCCATTTTCACAATGTTAATCCTACCAATCCATGAGCACGGGAGATCTTTCCATCTTCTGAGATCTTCTTCAATTTCTTTCTTCAGAGACTTGAAGTTTTTCTCAAACAGGTCTTTCACTTGCTTACGCCAATACATTTCAAGAAGTAATTTCCCTCTTCTCTGCTGCCTGTGATACCCAGAGTTGGCCATAGACTCAATAGTGCTGTCTTGGTATTAGGAAGAAATTACTGAGTTGACTATTAGGCATGAATACTAGTAGAGGGTAGAAAAGTCAGCTCCATCTCAGTGCTCAGTTATTGTAACTGCTAGCATGCTGTTTCTTGGATGTCTATGTGGTGTTGAAAACAATGTCAGTTTCCTATCACTATTCCCCACCCAGGTATCCAGATGGACCTGTATGTACCTAAAGACGCTGTGTGTAAACATGAAGGAAAGTGGTGAATGGAGATCAGAGAGTAACAACATGTTCTAAGTGGAACAAACAATGGCTTCTGCCAAGGATAAGCTGAGGAGCGGGAGAAATATGTGAACAATATCACAAATGAAACACAGTTTAAGGTAGCTGTAAGAGGAATTAGGAGTCATCTACTTAGCTGTTAAATCATCTATCAAGTCTACAAAGCACCTATGAAATCACTAGTGATATTGCTACAGGTCACTGATGAATTCAGGTCTCCTCCATTCAATATTTCACCATCTTATTCAGAAAATTCCCTTTTATTTTCTAAAAAAAAAAAAAAAAAACCATTTCCCAGAAACCCATTGGTTACAAGCACAATTCAAGTGAAATGAAATAATCATTGACTACAAAAAAAAATAACACTTCATGTGACCCTTTCTTTTAAAAAAAGTTTTTCCTGATTCTCTTAAAATTGTCAAGAATCTAATCTTTAAAATAAGAAAAAGAAAATAGATTATGAAGAATAAAATCTGGGTCCTGCTGCTAGCCATTTGAGGACACCCTTAGGAGAAGAATACTTACAAGAATAAATGGAAGAAAACACAGAGTTGAGGCATAAGCCCCAACATCCAACCTCGATTCCTCTCTCATAGGCGAGAAACTCTGTGGAGTTGTGGGCGCTGTAGGGATTCCCATGGTATACGATCTGAAAGGGAGGTTCCGGTGGTTGAGTCACTAGTGCATTGTCACTAGTGACAATAGTCACTAGACATAGTCACTAGGCAGCTCCTCTTATGTTTCTCAACCCTTGAGGAAAGGCGGCTCTTCCCAGGGCACAGAGTTCAATCAGACATCACGGGTCACTCCTCTCAGCTATTATGTATCCTTCAAGGACTTTCATGGAGTAAAATATCTATGCATCAAATATAAATTAACACTTCTCTAGACTCATGTTTATTAGTCCCCACCCCTCAACCTAACTCCTGGCCCTACTTGACTTAGTGCCATTCTCTAGTACAGCTAACAGACTTCCAAGTCTCCTCCTCACACACCATTTCTATTCCCACTTGGAATTCTTTCTTGCCCTGTCTGAGCTCTGAAACTCTGGCTTCAAGGCCAGGATCATGCCTTGATCAGGTACTTCTTTTATGGGCTCTGCAGATCATATCTACTCTTGTCTATTTGTTGTAGTCTTTGATCACATAGTGGTAGATCTCACAGTATTTAGGTGAAACTCTGACACCTATTTAGTAGGTGGAGCAGCCTATTTCTAGAATTGTAACTTTAAACCAGTTTCTCCAAGGCACTGTTTGCTATAACTGTTCCAGACAAAAGAAGCTCCCGATGAGCTTCTAATGGACACACACATTCATTACCTGTCCCATGAAATCTGTGAAGAAGAGCATGTTTGACAGGAAGGCAGTCCATCCAATGAGATGGCTGATGCAAAGGCAGCGGTAGTGGGAAGGCATGCTCACTAATGCTCTCAGAAGTGACTTCACTGACATTGCCTTCTGACCCTGGAAGAAGAACATAGATCTTCAGTGTAGGCGCCCAGCCAGCGGCAGAGGCAGAAACAGCTACACCACATCGGTGGCACTTGGGTATCATATGACATCACCCGTTGGTTTCCATGGGACAAACTCACTGATAATGTGCTGTTAACAATAAATGACTTAGCAGTCCCAGGCCTATAAATAACTTTCATAACCTAGGGGTGGATAGTTTTGGAATGGAGCTACACTGAGCCCAAGATATAAGAAACAGCTAACACTCTGTCTTTAAACCACACTCCTGTAAGAGGACAAAGCCCACAGTTCTAAACTATTCCTTAAATAATTATTATTATTTGATCACAGAAGCCTAGTTCAAGATGGAGTTCATGATCTCTTGTCTCAACGGTACCCATGCCGTTTTGTTTTGCTGCACGTAAGGAGGGATCTGGAAAACAAAATGAAGGTTACTAGTTAGTGGACCTTGAGGAAATTAAGAGGAAACTTACCTGGTGAACACTAGTTGAATCACAAAAGCTCTTAGAAAGCAGAGGGTGTTTTGTTCTGTTTTTCCAGCTGGGAGCAGAAGCAGATTTCTGAGAAACTTAAAGTATGAGGCTTACTGCCATTGCAAACAGCCGAAGCCATGTGGAAATGAGCTGAGAGCGGTCCTTTAAAGCTTAGAAAGGCTCCTGGACAATACTCTACAAGGAAACAGGAACCTAACCCTTACATCACAAGGAACTGACTTCACCAATGACCTGAATGAGCTTGAAGACAGGTTCAGTCCAGCTGAACCCCTGGATGAGAATACAGCACTGTTGAGATCATGATTGCAGGGATGAGCAGAGAAATGTGGAGCCACCAATACTTCAGACCTATAAAACTGTGAGATGATTGATGGATGTTGTTTTAAGTTGCTATCTGGTCCAGGAAACTAATCAACTCCCTTGTCCTTGGCTAGGTACCTGCTCTCAGGTCACTTCTCCAATAGCTTCCAGTGATAGACCTTTGTGTCGAGTTTAAAATGTGAACAGTGTAAAAACACACCTGAGGGATGAATAACAAATCTGAGGGATGAATACTCACCCCTCAAATTCCTCACTTTATATTTATTCATTAACATCAGAGGGTGCAATTTGTTGTTGTTGTTATATTTAGTTTCAGTATTATTATTATATTTGGTTTGAGAGAGCTAGAATTTTTAAACTATTGACAAATTTGAAACAGAAAAAGTCTTTAGCATCTTGTCATGTAAGAGAAGAGAGAAACTTTGCAACACTAAGCATTCAGTCTCCCTAAGGACAATGAAAATCTGAATGTCATTGGAGGTGGTTGTGGTTCTTCCTTCTCGGCTTTTTAAAAAACCCTGAGTCTTGACACAATGAGATTGAGACCTAATTAGTAGAGTTACCAGACAGTCTCCTCGGATTGTCCATTTTCACTATAATCACATAGTTTTATAACTCAAATTTATCTGATTTTTTTTTTTACTTCTTTGTTTTACTTCTTTCTTTACTTCTTTCTTCTTTGATTTAACGATTTTAGGCTCATTGCATAGTTGATGCTCTCAGTTTCATCATCCTTGTTTCTGTTTTATGTTTTGAGGAAGGATCTCATGTAGCTCAGGCTGCCCCTGAATTTGCCACACAAGTGAGGATGGGAAGACGATCTTGAACCTTCAGTCTTCTTGTCTTCACTTCCAGAGTGCTGGGATTTCAGACATGCACCATCACAGCCAGCTAACTTTATCCATCTTGCAGTATTTGACATTCAGAGGTGAATATACTAATCTTCTTACACTCAATTAGCATCAAAATACAGGCATTCTCTTCTCTTGCATTTAGGAAAAATATCAATACTCAGCATGCAGAATACAATGCCTAAATTAAAAGGTGATTGTAACAACTGTGTACAATTACTTCTTTTTCTTCATAGGGAAATGTAGATATTGCCCAGCAATGGCAGCTGATTTTCATGCTTTAAACTAAGTGCCTTCTCTGTATTTTTGTTTCTCCTTCCCCCAAAATTGCACAACCTGGAAAGTATACATTCTGCCTCACTCCAAATATTAATGTAGCCTTCTGGCTTCTACATAATTTCCAGCCTGATTCATTCATTGTTCATGTAATTTCTCCTTCCTTCCAAAAAGTAAATGTGAGCCTTCAAATTGAGCTTAGTATTTCTGTAAAAGCTGGGAATATAAATATTCAGTATTTTAAGTGGCAACAAAAATCAGCTGGCATCTTACCCCTGACTCATCAGTTCCCGGGGAAAAGCCCTTTCAATGGCTTTGAGCCCCCGGGGAATCATTTTACTGCACAGACTCTGAGCCATCATCAGCTGCTAAGTGATGGATTTGCAACTGAAGAAGATTCAGAATCCTCAGGAGGAAGAAACACAAAAGTATCCTCTGAAGAAGAAAATGCAAATGTTGAGAAGAGAAACTGTTTTGGCATTCAGGGATCGGGATGGGTTTTTATGGAATCCAGTTTGAACTTGTAAATGGATCAGGTCTCTTCCCTTTCAAAAGAACTCTAGTTCTAAATTGTGCAGCCGCCATCAGTTTGGAACCAGAGACTGTGAGAAAGTATGTCAACTTGGACCTTGGCTGTCATACTGGTCCTAATGTGCCTAGCTGGAGGCATCCCTACATGTGCATAGAGAAGTACCACATGCTTAGCTATGAGGCCATGGTGCCTTGTTCTGCTTATTATTTTTTTATAATTTATTTAATTTTATTTTTCATGTGCATTGGTGTGAGGGCACCAGAACTTGGAGTTACAGACAGTTGTGAGCTGCCATGTGGGCACTAGGAAATTGAACCGGGTCCTGTAGAAGAGCAGCCAGTGCTCTTAACCACTGAACCATCTCTCCAGCCCCTGCTTCCAATTCTTACTTTGTTTCTTTTACAATGCTTTTTTTTTTATAGCTTTGCACACTTTAGTCTATTTTTATTTGTTTCTGAGACAAGGTCTTACTTAGAGTAGCCCCTGTCTTTCCTGGAACTTATACAAACACCTGCATGGACTTGAACTTACAGAGCTCCAAAGTCCTCTGCCTCCTGTGTGCTGGGATTCAAGGCCTACCACCACACCTGGCCTAGTTTGTCTCTTACCCTGAACAACAAAAACCATTTAGATTCTAAATCATGTATGGTGATACATACTGCTATTGTTTGCTTTTCTTTTCTTCTTGTTATTCAACTGAAAAATATTGAGATGTGCTACTGAATGGAACAGGCTAGCTTTACAGGTTTCTTTATAAATTCTATACCCCATGTTAAACTAAATTCTCCCAGCACTTTTACAGAAGGCAGGAGGAGGAACAGATAAATTGAGACAAGACCCGTTGCAAAGGAATGTGAAAGTTCTCCTCCCCGCTGTGGAGGAGTATCCGGATCTGCAGTACAAGATAACGTTGCTTAGTAGCCGGTCCAGACATCACCAGTTCCCCAACCCAGATCAGGGCAGGACCAGATGGACTTGGCGCCTAAAATTAACCAATCATTTTAAAAGTCAACTACCCAATCTAGTGTCGCCAAGCTCGCAACCTCCGCGATTCCCGAGCTCCTTCCTTTAAAACCCTGAGACTTCTGTCTCTCCTGGCTGTTCCTCGCTGGTTTCTTTGGGGGGGGGGGGCAGACCCATCGTACGGTGGCTGAATTAAATACCTCATGCTATTGCATCGATGATGGTCTCCTGAGTTCTCTTCATCGCCCTCGGAAAGTTAGGGTCCCCTAGGGGGTTCCCCCTTGGGCCTAACATTACATCATGTTTTGAAGTGTATACATTATGGAATCACTAGATAGGACAAACAAATGCTTCATCTCCCACATTTCTCTCCACCCATCCATCCATCCACCCACCCATCCACCCATCCATCCATCCATCCATCCATCCATCCATCCATCCATCCATCCATTTCTATATTTGTATCTGTATCTATATTTATATCTATATTTCTCCCCAAACAAACAAAAACAAAAATCAAAACCAAGAAAAAGTAGGATTAAAAAAAATAAAAACAAAATGAAACAAAAGATACACAGATATCAGACAAACAGACAAAAACAACAAAACTCTGGGGTCCCTCATTTGCTTGCCCACTACTGAGCCGAGTCCCTTTTGGATAGTAACTGCTTGCCACAGTATAGTTTGCAAATTCATCCTCCCATTTGGCACGTTGCCTCTTCGCTCTGTTGATTGTTCCTTTGCTGCACAAGGATCTTTTAGTGTCATGCAATCCCATGTTTCCATACTCACTTTGTACTTTATAATAACTAAGAATCTCCATTCCTAGGTTAAGGTCACATAGCTTTCCCCGCCGTTTTCTTCTAGTTGTTTTATAGTTTGGGGATTATGTTTAAGTGTTTGATTCATTCTGTTTTTGCCAAAGATAAAACCTGAGGATTAATCCTTGGTTGTTTATTCTATCCCATTGATCTGTGTATTGGTTTTTGTGCCTGTACCATGCTCTGTTACTTACATAGCTTTAGAGTAAAATTAATTAATGCCTCTAGATTCGCTCCTTTTGTTCAACCTTTGGATAACTGTGGTTATCATGGTTTTATATAGATTTAAAGATTTTTTTCTACTTTTGTGAAAAGAAATTACTGGAATTTTGATAGGTATGGCATTGAATCTGTTGATTGCTTTGAGTGATATGGATATTTAATAATGTTAATTCTTCTAATTTCCATTTACTTGTACTTTCTACATCTTTGATCATTGATTTACAGTTTTTAATTACAAATATTGGCTCAGCTTAATCCTAAGTATTTTTGTAGCTATTACAAGTTGATTTTAGTTTTAGACAGTATCTAAAACTGTTTTGCTTTCTATTGCTGTGATAAAATGCCATGACCAAAAGCAACTTGGTATGTTGGCTACTTTTAAGTCAACTTGACACAGGCTGGAGTCATCCGAAAGAAGGGCATCCCAACTTGATTTGTAGACCAGGCTGGCTTGGAACTCACAGAGATCCACGTGCTTCTACCTCCCCAAGTGCTGGGATTACAGGCGTGCACCACCATGCCTGGCTCAATTTACTCAATTTAATCATTAAAAGATGTTGTATTTTGTCTAATGCTGTTTCCATGTTTCTTAAGATAATCATATGATGTTAGCCCTTTGCTATTAGTGTCATATCCTGTGCCACATTTATTGATTCATATATGGTAAACAATCTTTGAATTCTAGAAGAAGATCTCACTTGATTATGGTAAATAATCCTTTGATAGTGTTGCTGTTTTTGATTTGGTGGGATTTTATTGAGGATCTCTGCATCAGTGTTTACCAAGAATATGGGCCTGTGAATCTTTCATTTATTTTGCTGCCAAAGTGTATCTTTGGTATCATCACAATAATGATTTTACAGATGTATTTGGAAGTTTTCCCTCCTTTTGGATTTCTTTAAAAGACTTTGAAAAATATTGGCATTAGTTAGTTGCATACTTAGTAAACTTCAATAGAATTTTATTCATCTGTAAACACAGCGTGAGATATTTTCACATTTCTTTTAATCTTTTCTTTGATCCATTGGTTGCTTAGAGGAATGTTATTTAATTTCTATATATTTGTGAGTAATGTGAAGTTCCTTGTATTATTCACTTCTAGTTCTAAACTGCTCTAGTTGTAAACTGCTCCTCAATGTAATTTTTTTTTAATGAAAATATTTATTTGTGCACAGTCATAGACGTCACAGGCCAGCACAAAACAGACACAGTTACAATACGCTGACAGATGTTCATGTCTCCAAAGACACTAACAGGGGCAGTACACTGGGCTGGCGAACTTGGGCTAGAGACTCCCTGAGCCCATGGCACCCCCCTCCTGCACAGCAGAGACTGTGGAGCCAACTGGGTTTGCTCTAAAGGTTAGGAGCCTCCAAAGTGGCTCTGAGTGCTAGCGGAGTCAGGCTGTCTCACAGGTGTAGCCCATCATCCAGTTGGTCCAGGTTTGGAACACATGGGGGAAATTCTGACACGTTCTCTATCAGGAATTGGACAACCATGAAGGTAAGAGCACTCACAACGTCACCCATCCCGTCTCCTCCCTCAAGAGCTGTTCATGAAGAATTCACCTTCACTTACAAAAATACTGACATCACACCTACCATCATCCAGGAAATGGCCGTGGGTGTTTTCTGGGAATCACTCAAGCTTGAGCTTTGAGGGAATTTTGCTAAGAAGTAGGGTAAAACCATGCTGCACCTCACTGTCCGCCTTGCAGGGGTAGGTAGTCCCCCATAAGAGCAGGTGGAGGTGCCATCATCCTTATGTGACCTGGGCTGCTGTTCTGGGAGCCTCTCAGCTACACCCTCACAGAGGATCTGGTTCATGCCTGACATGAGGTGGCTGTGTCCTGGGGGGTGACAGGACACAATAGAGGACCCAGGGGCTTGGCATATCCTTTTAGTGTACCACGATGTAACTTTTTACTTTTGTTCTTTTTTCATACATCACATCCCGACAGCAGTGCCCCCTCCCTCCACTCTTCTCAGTCCTCCCGCTATCTCCCCTCTCCCCAGGTCTACCCCTCCTCCACTTTCCTCCAAAAGAAAAGGGCAGGCCTCCCAGGAATATCAACCAAACATGGCACAGCAAGTTACAATAAGAGTAGACAGCCTTCATATCTGGATGCAGCAATCCAGTAGGAAGAAAAGAGTACCAAAAAGCAGGCAAAAAAAAAAAAAGAAAAGAAAAGAAAACGAGTCAGAGCCATGCCCACTTCCACTGTTAGGAGTCCCACAAGAACACCAAGCTAACAACTATGACACGCCAAAACTATAACATAGAGAACCTAGCTCAGACCCATGTAGGCTCCGTGACTGTCATGTCAGTCTCTGTAATTAATTCCTAGGGAATATTTCCTGTTCTGTTCAATTGAAAAAAAAAAGGTGTGTTCTGATGCTGTTAGGTCCACGTGATCTAAAGTGTAGTTCAACTCCCAGATGTCCAGCATTGCAAGTGCTGCTGTGGTGCCTGGGACCACTCTCCTGCAGTGGACTTGGTTCTGTCAGGTTGGTCAGGCGTGGGTGCCCCTGCTGATGGATATTGCCAGGCTTTATCTTTTGGCGAATTGATCCCTTATCACTAGTGCCCTTCAACATCTTCTCGATTTACTTTTGTCGAGCTGGGGATCAACCCCAGGGCCTTGCTCTACCAGTGAGTCTATCCTTGGTTCTGATCTCATAGACTTGACTGGAAGTCTGTTTTATCTAAGCGTGGCCAAGGTGGAATTTCTACCACCTTCCTTCCCCCCCACACACACTAAGGGAAATTTTCGGTTTCACTCAGTGGTTTTGTTTTTACCCTAAGGTTTTCTATTACCCCTTTCTCTACCAGGAGCATTCTCCTCGAAATTTCCATTTCAAATCCTGACCATCATTCAAAGCACCAAGCTGGGGTGATGTTTTTTTAAAGCTATGAAGCTTTGCTCTATTTGCTTAAGAGCAATCTCTCCCTTTTTCAAAATCAGTCATACGTTTTTGCTACGAGAAACATTCCCATCATAGAAATGGGCCACTTTAGTCCCCTGCTGGTGGATGAGTGAGCTACCACATGCTGTCTCTCTAATTTTATCATCCATTCTTGACAACGGCTAAGCAAGATGTAAGGTTCTAGTACCAGCCTCTTCCCATGAGACTTGGAACTTACCAAGGGCCAGTTTGGCTGGAAAACCCCTTTGGCCTGGCTGAAACTCAAAGGACTCCAGAGCACTTGACAGACATCCTGCTCAACCCCTTTCTTTCCCCGGTGTTGGACTTTTTCCTTGATAGGAAGGTATCACTTCCTACTTCCCTTTGCCTTTCATGCTGCTTTACACAGTGAATCTGTGGGATAGGTGATCCTACTCAAACACCTGCTCTCTTTAGAAAATCTCAATGGATACATTGCTTTTATAGCATCTTTCATTTTGTGCCTTGTTGTGGAGGCATAAATGACTCATGCCCACTTACAATTTCCCGGGCATAGGAACTGGCTTATAAATTCCTAGGCATAGGTACTGGACATTAGTCAACACAGTGGTCTCAAAATACCTAGTATAATGCTGTGTACATACTCGGTATCCAGAGAAGTTTGTTAAATAAATAATAATCATTAAAAATATGCTTGTATACTTAATGTAAAGTCTTTAAAAAAAACACCTTTCTGTCTTTATATGAAGCTGACCTTATGGAGAGCTGTAGCTCACTGGGTTGTTTATATGACTTTAGACTAGATAACGCCCCTGTTTGTGCTTAGAGTACTCAGCATTCTCACAGGTTCAAAAGAACAATGCCTCAAGTGCCACCTTACTAGGCAGTGGGAACCACCGTGAGCGACTTGCATAGAATATCCCATGTGAACTTCATGTTATCCCTTGCTGGTGGATAGAATTACTTTCTCATTTTACAGAAATATAAATGCCTAAGGTCATACATTTTAAAAGGCAGTAGTACCAGAATTTGACACATGCTCTAAATCTTTAGGCTGTTCTAAAGCCATCCTGTCAGTTAGTTTTGGGGTGACTAATGCAGGTCGTCCAGATGCAAGCCTTTAACGTCTGTGTTAACAAGCGCATCTTTCATATTAGAGCCCCAAGAAGTGGGTATTTAAAGGCAGCTGACACACGACTGCAGCAACTGGATCCGTGTTGTCTCATCTGTCTTTTTATACCCAGGGAGAGGTTTATACTTGCTGTGCCTTGGACAGCAGTACCTGGCCCACGTGGCTTTGAGCTTTCAATGTGTGTCTAGTGCAACTAGTGAAATGAAGACTTAAGTTTGTTTCATCTTAATTAATTGTAAATTAAGCAGTTTTGTGGGATTAGTGGCTTCTATATTGGTCAAGATAATTCTAACCTCTCTAACCAGTTCCTCTGAACCTTCATCCATTTCTCTGGCAATTGATTGTTTGATGTTTTGTTGTTCTTTTGTTTTGTTTTTTAAGTTAAAGCTATTGATTTTTTTTTTTGCACAGCTCACTGAAAATGGAATAAAAGGATTATCCAACTGAGTCATGTTATACAAAATTTATATGTCTAATCCAGACATCAACTCAATGACATTATCATTTGGAGGAACAAAGGTATAGATTGTAATTCTTATCTAAGAGACTATTTTTCATTGCCAGAGGATGACTGGAGAGTTCTCGTATGGCCTAACCTTTTACACTTGACATCACCTTCTCTAATTTGATACTTTGAGACTCACTGAGGCACAAAATTCTCATTCCAAAGGCTAATGTCTAATTGAGGTTTTGAAGATTCAAACAGACTATACACATCAGACAAGCAGACAAACCAATTTTTCACAAAGAAGAAAGCGAAGAAGCAAGAACATTTCCCCTTACATGGAGAGAAAGAGAAAAGAATTCGCACCATTACCTGTCCAGGAGTTTTTTTGTTTTTCCCTCCCTGCACTGCCAGCTCTGAGTATGCATCGCCATTTTTAACTTTCTCAATAGAACCATATTCTTGCATCCCATCCGCCGATGGTGATGAGCCCTGAGGGCCTTGCTGTGAGGAAGTGTCTTCTATAGCATCTCTGAGCTGGGCTTCAGGGATACTACACAGATGGGTGATGATGCACAAGGTTAGCACCAGGGCAGAGAAGAAGAACATGACCTGGAACTCGGTGCCCAGCAGCCTTCCCAGCTCCAGATGCATCCAGTCTATGGCACCCAAAAGGTAGCCAAGGGCACCTCCAATACCTAGAAAGCAAAACCAGACAGACAGATGAATTAGCATAGGCAGCCAATCGTGTTTGTTTCCCACCTGGCACAGATCTTCCCCTTCTGTGGAAAAGCTCTCTGAGGATCTTGGTAATAATGAGGAGGCGATTCAGCAAGAGGCTAAGATGCCTGCAACCAGACAGTGTGGGTTCAAGTCCCAGCTCTGGTATTTACTTGCTGCGACCTTGGTCCTGATCACTTATTAGGAGGGAATAATGAAGAATAACCTACCAGGAAGGTCATGATTTGGAAATGAAAAGTACTCGGCAGAGCAGTGGATACAGAGCAAACACTTAGTAAATTACACTAACACATGATGGGGACAGTGAGGAGCCTAGCAAATGCCAGGGTGGGAAGGTGTCACTCAACCTATGTACTTTCCCTCCCAAACCTTTGCTTTTTATATCACTAAAACTTGGATACCACCCTTTAGAAATGAAGTAACTATCATTCCAATACGATTAAGGCCAATTTCACTCTGTCGTGTGGCAAGATCATTCGCAGAGAAGCAATTAAACTAAGTTTGCATTTGAGGACTCAGATCCATTCAGATATAAAATATGATCTAGTGTTGTCCTTTGCTGTGTGTTACCTTTGCGGCGGGCTAGAAAATTTTCAGTTAAGCCGGTGTCAGATTCATAAAATTGTTCTTATTTAACCAAATAATTGCAGATAGTATGCAAACTGTATTTGCCCAAGACTGCACATGCCCTGAAATTGGAAGTTTTGTTCCTGCTGGAAGTTTCTAATTTGTATTAGTTTGCCTAATCCAGTAATAGTTTATGCAAAAGCATCCACTGTAATTGTCTCATCATTTTTCTAGAAATGGCTTCTCCATTTTGGTACAGAAAATGGCTTACTAACCGAGTTCAGAAACTTCCCATTTTCAGACTCATAAAATATGACTCCTTGGACCTCCGCTTTCAGTGGATTTGGAGAGGGGAATGGGAGGAGATGAGGGAGGGAAGGTGGGGTTGGGAGGGAATGAGGAAGAGGTCTACATCTGGGATACAAAGTGAATAAACTAATTAATACAAAAAAATAAAATTTTAATTTAAAAAACTGACTCCTTTTTCTTTTCTTGACTAAGGATTAGAGACGAAGTGTATTTTCAGCTCATCTGGTTCTTAAGCTATTTGTGAACACCTACAGTTAATTCAAGTCTACAAAACTAGTATTTCTAACTCTAATAAGGTCCTATGTAAAATGCTCCAGCGCCTCCTAGTGGTGAGAAAGAAGAATGGAGTACAGATGCTGGGGATTATGTGCTGTACCCTGAACTCTCATGCTCTTAGCAGCTGCGATCGTGACTACTGAGAAGCCAATGGTTGCATTGTGCATCTGTATCGCACTTCACCTCAGAGAACCAAACCTCTTCCAGAACCACCTTGAGAATATACCCTTTGTTCTTCCCAAATGCAGAGATGCACTTTACAAGGCTCCTCAAGAACCATGGAAAGACACAATGCAGAAGCCAACTCTATAATGCCTGGTTGTCACATTTGATAGCATTTCCCTTCTTCTCCATGGCATTACTTTCCAAATAAGCAGTGTGTCCAGATTCTTGGGGCTCGACTCTTACAGGAATCCAAATTAAGACAGACACCACATCTTTAGTTAACCGTTGGTTTGTTGAGTTTTACTCCTCCTCTACATCTAGTCAGGTGGCCTTGAGTTAGTCACTTTATTTCCTAGCAACACAACTTAACCATTGTGAAAACTGAGGATGTGAAAATAAAATATTCATCACACCAACCTTTTCTGTGCCTGTTCCATATTTTATAGTGTTCAAAGCACTGGTTGTAGAGCAATGAAAAGGAAAGATGTGTACCAGTTGGGGGTGAAGAAGCAGGCAAAAAGAAACACACAAATGAATGAATCAATGATCTGAGATCATGTGTGAGCACCAGCTCTGTGATCAGAGAGGAAGGCAGAGGAGGCCGTTGTCGTCCATTCTTCCAACACAGAAAAGAGTAAAGAAAAGCTCTCTCCCGGGGACACTGTGTTAAGTGACAAAGACAAGCATGAAAGGCATATAAAGTGAATGGAACTGAAAAGAAATTGGGCTCATGGGAGTAGAGCATATAGTAGACATCAACAGAGGACAGGAGGGACAGAGGGAAGTTTGGTTATTCCAGTTAGATCAAAAGAATTAGGTCTAATAGTCTATAGAACATCAGGTACAGCAATTTGTTGTGTGCCTCAGAGTAATCAAAGAAGAGTTTGGGGGTTCTCAACATACTGAAACAACAATCCCTGGGAAGGGCACAACGCCAATACCCCCGATTTGATCACTGTGCTCTGTACGTATGTACAGAAGACATTATCACATGGAATCCTGTATGTATGGATCATACATGCTGAGTTTGAACCAAAATAATTAAAGTAAAGTGAGGAAATGTCCTTGAGTTCTGCTGTGTCTTGTCCTTTCCAAGGTGCCTGAGGGAGGAGATGTGAAAGTTTCCCACAGGCACAAACTTCAAAGGGAAGCCAGCTGATGAAACAAAACTGCCCATCTAACAATTGTTCACGAATGAGAAAAAAGTTAAAATAGCCCCAAACACAAAGGGTGGTTCTTTAGTTTGGTTATAGGGGCTCTATCTGAAACTTCATTTTCAATTCTCTTCTGAGTCTTTAATTATTTGCCAGACAGAGCATTTTATTCTTACATATTAGCATTTTGGGGCATACTTTGAAGTAATTTTTTGAAGTTGAAAGAAGCCAAGCCTAATTCCCTTCCCCATCTTCCTCTGAAGGAATGCAGTTTCTCCTTGAAGTATTCATTACAGATACAACTTTTGCAGATGGTGGGAAAGAGAAATCAAGTGAGCTTACAAGTCTGGCGTTTGACCCTTTGGACATCTTGTCATTCTATCAATGGGACTTTTTGCCAATGTGTTTGCAACTAACATCATAGACTGGGGTGGGAAACAAAGTTCAGATATCCTGAGCCTGCACTGCAACTGAGGGGAGCAGGACTTCCCAATGTGCCTGATTCAAGTTTGCCACCAGCAGTAGATTCCACTGCCCAGGGAAGTGTAATCTGGAGTTTAGTTCAGCACAAATATACTGGGTTAGGAACTTTCAACATCAAAGGGAAATTTCTAACTAATGGGCATGGCTGTGTTGGTCCACTGGGCTCCACAGGCTCAGCTGCTCTCCACAGTGACAGATGTGTATATTGAATGTCCGTCAAACCCAGCATGGCTCCTGCTAAACCAGGGCTGGAGAGATGATGCAGTTACATTTTAGTGGAAGAGGCAAAAGGTGGAATAAAATAGCTCCCCAGGGGCCGGTGGAAAATTTTCTTTAACATATAAACACACACACACACACACACACACACACACACACACACACACACACACTCCAGAAGCATGCTGGCAAATACTCACAATGACCTAATTTCACTCAATGAGAAACAAATAAATGTCTATGGGGAGTAGAAAGCTCTTGCTTTCCTCATATAAAAAGATGATGTAGGCTTTTTTCCCTTCCTCCTTCCTTGACTCTCTTGTCTTATAAGAAACACGATGGAACTATGGCAACCATTATGTATCCAAGAGGCAACACACCAGTAAAGTAACCAAATAAAGGTTAACTTGATGCTGACATGGACTGCTGGCCAAAAGCCAGCATGTATCCATGCTGCTGAATTCTTGTTATTTAAGAAAAATAAACCACTATTGTCATTTAAGCCTCTGTCCTGTGAGTGTTGTCAGGGCCAGCTCCTTTCCTAAGCTATGCATTCCTTGAGCACCTGCCACAGGAGAATGGGAAGGGTCAGGCATGGATAAAATGCTCCAACAGGATTGCAAGTAGCTCACTAATATGACCAGAATGCTGATTGTCAATCCAGCACATCACCCTCAGCTTCTCACTCCTTTACACACGCATTTGCTGTGGATAGCTCCTTCTTTCATGAAATGTATGGTGGCTAGAAATGTCCTAAAATAGGAGGTAGAAAATCCTCAAAGACCAAGAAAGCGATTATATGAAAACTGCCCTTTGAGAATGGTCTTTTAAACTGAGAAGTTTTAGGGAGTTTTAGGCCTCATAGATGGCCTGAACTTTTCCTTGCAACCAACTGCCCTTCCCACCAAAACCAAAAGCTGCATGTACTTTAGGAGACTCTAAAAAAAGTATTACGCAGAAGGACCTGAGAGCTACAGGAATGAGAGACAATACTTGTGGTCTTTAGACCATAAACATAGCAAAATAAGACATAGAAAATACTCTTTTATGTTCTTTTGAACATAAGAACTTTTGTACTCTTATGTTTATTCAAAAATTCTAGACTATCTCCAGTATGGTGAGAAGGAAAGTGAAAAGGGACTGAGGAAGAATAAAAGGAGGGGAAAGTAGGCATGTTCAATCAACAGGCAGCCTTTTCCTAGAAGGGAAGCTAGGCTCAGTGTTAATGAGAGGAAAGTTAAAATGCTGCTTTATGAGCTAGAGTAGACCTGTCCTCAAGTTCATGTGTTGATATCCGAACTCCTAGTGACTGTATTTGTATAGAAACTGTAAGGAGGCGCTTACAGTTAAAGGAGGCTGGGAGAAACCCTAGTCTAACAGAACTGACTTCCCTAGACAGGAAGACACCCCAGGGGGGCAGTGAGAGTGAGGTGTAAGGCACACATGGGCAGAGATGAGATCATGTGAGCACACAAAGAGACACAAGAAGACAGATGTCTGAGAGTCAGGAAGGGAGGCTTTCTTAGAGCCCATCCCTGTCAACACTTTGACCTTGGATTGCCTTCCTCCATAGCTGTGAGGATTATCTTTCTGTTCTTCAAGCCAGCCAGGCTGCAGCAGTCGCATGGCCGAACAGGCTACCCAGAGAACCGTCAGGGGTTGTTCACTGAGGGCTGTGTAAATGGTGAGGCACAGCCCACATCTCCCTGTCGAGAAATCCACCCAACAGAACCCCTTGCTATCCAGCCACTCAAGAAACTTTCTCACTTTGATTATTTTTTATTATTATTTTGATTATTTTTGTGGATTGAGTCCAAAGTCAAGTTAGAAATTAAGTCTAATTGCAATTAAAAAAAAAGAGTAAGGGACCTTCTCTCTAGGAGGGTGAGAATTTCAAAGCACTTATCTATTTTCGAAGGGACGCTGTGAGTGAGACAAGACCTTCAACCTGGAGGAGAAAAGGGGGGAGGGTCTGGGAGGAGCTGGAGAAGGGAAATGAGTATAATCAAAATATAGTACTTGAAATTCTCAAAGAGGAAATAAAAACATGATTAAAAGTTAAAAAAAGGGAAGAAGAAGAGGGCAGTTCCCTCCTGCATTATTATGTTAGTATTTATTTTGAGCAGATGCGATGTGACCATTGATGCTCAGAGAGCCAGGGAACAATGAATGAAGCACGCCTGATGTCTGCACTGGAAACAGAGTTACTCAGAGCACAGAGAATGTGGAGGGAATCAGTGGGAAATAAGGCCTGAGGTACAGGTGAAAATAGCTTGTGGGTTAATGAGGTGGAGTGATAGCTGAGTGATTAAGAGCTCCTGCTGTGGTTAACAACAAGAGTAAAACTTCTACCTCACTAGACATCCTGGCAAGGGAATGGGGTTGCTGAGCAGTAAGAGCAAAGATGAGGCAGGAATTTCCTCAAACTCTGACTTTATCTGCAGCATTTATACCTCCAGAAACACGGAGGCCAAGGGCCACTGACAGAGAGGGCAGCCCTTCTGCCCTCCCGAAAATGGGTGGGAACAGCTTGCTGCACCAGGACAGCCTTATCCCTTCCTGGTTTCACTACTCAGGTATTTGCCAAAACAACAAAGCTAGACACAGTGGCTTCCACACGCGGGAACTAATCTTGGCTTAGGAGGTAGAGCCCTACATGGCTGTGGAAGGGGATAGGATTCCTCAAAATGTAAGTACACGTAAAAACGATATAATAAAGTGGCCTGGTAGAGTCCTGATGCTAGACATAAAAATCCCCCTGGCTTGGGACCCTGCCTTCACTTTTCATGTTACCTGGATCTAGCTCCTGCCTGGTGTGCTACCAAGCACTGCTTAGGAAACAGCCCAGTGGCAATTAAGGGAGGCTGACAACAGCCCCCTAGGAATGGAGAGAGCCCTCTAAGCCCACCCAACATGACATTTATAAGGGAGCAGGGTGATTTCTCTATATAATGAAGAACTCTTGAAGAGGGTGGGGTCTTGTTTGTTTGCTTCAGTTCTAGTTTTGGTTTTAAATGTATTTCTTAGGATATATGCCACATCATCTGGGTCCTTATCAAATAAGAGGCAAATCCCTGGGCCCCATCTGAGATACACTGAATCAGCGGAACTAGAGGAAGAGCCCAGAAACATGCATTTTTAACCATCCTTAAGCAAGTCTAATGACGCATGACGGATGCCTGAGGGTCACTGCTTTAAAGGGCAGGTTTGGTGCACAGGGCTCCTTTATGCTTCAGCTGGACACATTTCCACAGCGTCCTAAAGAAGCCTTTTATGTAAACTTCCTTTTCAAGAATTCTGCAGCCCCGGTCATGAGCTTACTTTGTTCAGAGAAATGAACTGAGACAGGCCCCAGCACGTGATCGGGGCTTCCGATCAACTGATCCATTCATCCACAGGATTCCAAGCACAGAGACACTTCATGTCTTCCACTGACATTTCTCCCCGTTTGCAAAGCTGAAGGAGAGACTTTCTGGAACATTCCCTACCTGTGAAGAGGGCATGGTAGTGGAGGCCCTTCTCCTTGTCCTGGTGGGAGCAGACATCAAATAAGTAGGCTTTGATGGGCCCATCAATGAAGTCAGCAGAAAAATCGAAGAGAACCACACCTATCATGGTGAGGCTGACAGCCCAAACCTGCTTCTTCCTGGGGTTAGCAACCAAAGCTAAAAGAGAAACAAACATTGGTCTTCTCAACCATGTTTAAAACAATCCACTTTTTTTGTTTGTTTGTTTGTTTGTTTGTTTTGTTTTTTTATTTCACTTAAACTGTTATCAAATCACTTCTTTGGGGCTCTGTAGTTTTGGTTTTACATCTTTAAAAAAAAGGCTCTTTTTTTCATGTTTAAGAAAGTATGCAATTGAAAGCCTAGGAAAGACAAATCTATAGACAAAAAGTAAATTAGTGATTGCCTAGTGCCTGGAAAAAACGGGAAGTGACTTTCAGGGTGTAGTGGGTTTCTTTAGGGAAGGGGATGAAAATATTCTGAAAGTTCAGGATGGTGATGGCTGCTCAATCTTATGACTATTCTAAAAAGCACTGGGTTATAAACTATCTGAATAGTCTGGGGTTTTAATGACATCTCTTTAAATTAAAGATAATAATGGTATGAAATAAACTGAAGAAAAATTTTCACATCCCAGCTACAGCTACACTACCAGGCATCTCGTTATGTATGTGCAGACCCATGGTTGTGCAGAAGTACCCAAACAGAAGCTTCCGAACCTCTGGAGTACTTGACAGCCATCTGAAAGGTCCTATCAAAACACAGATTGCTGGCCCTATTTCCCAAGACTCTGGCTTGACAGGTGTAAAGGGGTGAGTGTGAGAATTTGTCACTCTGTAGCCCCTTGGTACACACTTTTGAATGACCTAGACAAATGAAAACCATGTCTCTTCTCAACCAACTCTGGCAAGTTCTTTTGGCTTATCAAGAAAGCCTCTGTAATACTCTGTAACGCTTAAGTAGGATCCATTCTATCCATATGCTCTATTCATCTACCCAGTCCTCTGAGAATGATATACATTGTTTTCCTTACTTAAAGTTTCTTTTGTTAAACTAACACTAGTGTATAATATATGGATGTGTTTGAAACATTCCAATATGAAAGTGAAAATCAAACCCATCCTCTTTTTCTTTCCCTCAAGTATTTGTCTTACTTTTCCTTTTTGCACCCTCCATTTATATTTGTATATCCTTCTGAATATCAACAAATGGTACCTGCCTGTCCTGTGTCATAATCACTCATTCTACCAGCATAAACAGTCTGAAAATATGTGTCCCTTCATGATCTCTTTTTCAATATACTGCCACCACGTACTTAGGAGTTAGTAGCAGATGTGTAGCTAGAAATATTGCTCTCACACCAAATTTGTTGTTCAGAACTTGCAATGTAAAAATGCCCCCCAGAGCTGACAGGCCTGTGCCATGTGCCAACTAAAATGTTAAACAGCTAGAATTAACTCTCATTTGCACCCAGAAGGTGATTTGTTACAAATGGTTATAGCTGGACAATTTGACAAAGTATTCCATGAGGCATAATAGGCTCAAAAATCCTTCAACTGATAAATAAGTAAAAAATAATTTAACAATATAATTTGATGAAATAGATTAAAACATTCAATCCCATTTAAAGACCTTACAATAGTGAAAGACAAGGTAGTAATGTTTCTAACAGCAAAGGCTCCTCAACCTCAGGTTTGGGGTTATTCAACGGTGGGAGGAAGTTCACTGCTAGAAGAGTTGGTCACCTCTAGCCAGTTTCTAAAAGGCATTTAAAAATACTGATGACAGCCGAGTGCACACCTGTAATCCCAGCACTCGGGGAGACAGAGGCAGGTGGATCTCTGTGAATTCGAGGCCAGCTGGGTCTACAAAGCAAGTCCAGGCTACACAGAGAAACCCTGTCTCAGAAACAACAACAACAGCAAAAAAAAAATCCTGATGACATTTTAACCCAATGGCTAACTAACTGTTAGATCTGTGCAACCCACTTACCAGATACAGCAGCGTCTCCATTGAGGTAGAGAGCCATTCCCAAGAGCATCATGATTCCCAGCGTCAGGATGTAGGGTCTCCGGCGGCCCCACCGGGCCCTGCAGTGATCACTGACTGATCCCACCACAGGCTGCAGCAGGAATCCCAAGATGGGGCTGAGGAGCCACACTATGCTGTACAGGCTCTTTGGCAGGCCCACGCTGAGCAGAACTGGAGTCACGTAAGCTGCCTCCACCGCATAGCAAAACTCTCGGCCAAACATGGCCATGCTGTGCATGACGAGTCTTCCCGTGGATCTCCTGGGCTGCTCCACAGAGCCAAAGGGGCAGTTCTCAGCTAAGGATTGATAGGTATGGGTGTCATTCTGCCCATTGCTGACGCTCATGACCACGGAGAGAATAACCTTCCTGCGTGCTCCTCAGATCTGTGCTCCAAACTGGGTCTGACATGGAGCCTGTCTGAGCAACCGGCAGAGATAGGAAGACTGGAGGAGGGGCTGAAATTCTTTCATGCCTCCAAGATCACAAGTTATTACGAGAAGCAAAGGGGGTGTTGGCACTTGGAAGCATGACAGAGATTAGCTGTTGGTAGCCCTCTGGGTCCTTAAAATGCTAGTGTTTTTCTAAAGATCTTCCTTCACACAGCTCTCTCTCTCTCTCTTTCTCTCTCTCTCCACACACACAATTGTACAAACATCACTTTCATAGTTTTAAAATCATGATGTCTCTTTATACAGGGACTAAATAAAAATGTAAATAACCTAATAATTTCTATAAACTTCTTTCTATAGATCTGGGTATTCCCTTTTCCTGAATTCACATTTTCTACATAGAGCTTAAGAGACAAATTCGCTTTGTGGAGAACCTCACCCTTCACCCAAATCACTAGCTGTCACATAACTCCCTGAACTTTTCTCTCTTTGCACTTAATACATTTTCAGATGAGATAGTTCTGAGAATTTTATATCCTTTGTTAATTAGCCGTGATGTTCAGGACAGAGATGACGTTGATTTTGCTCATTATGGCATCCCCAACTTCTAGCCTGGCATCTCTTAGGTCCCCTCAAAACATCTGCTAGTAAATACAAGTTGAATGAATGGAGTATATACAGTCCGTTTTGTACCAGTCAGTACCTACTTTGCTTGCTCTTGCGGAACTATGTTTCCCAGTCCCCCTTGCTCTTTGGCTTCTAGCTATTTATGGCCAACAGGAAACTTAGGTGAAAAGCCAGAGGTGAAAGAGAAAAAGAGTATGTCCCAATTTTTTCGTCCCTTGATATTTTTGGCATTGACTTCATATCCACCATGAACCTCCCCTCTACGAGCCACACTGGAATGCTGGGTCTTCCTAGCTTCTCGGAGCGATTGTTCCTGCAGTCCTGGCTGTGATCCTGGCTCCTTGATTCTGCTCATATCTGGATGGCCTCACTGTATCTGCCTTTTATTGTCAATGTCATCGTCTAATTACATTTATTCTGTTTTAAAGACTTCAGTTGGGTCACATTTTCTTTACTGGATTAGTAAAAATCCTTGGCAGGATTTTGTCTTAGACAAAACGCCTTAAAAATGGAGTCACTCCAGCCAAGGACCATGCATGGAAATAACCTAGAACCTCTGCATAAGTGTAGCCCATGGCAGCCCAGTCTCCAAGTAAGTTTCCTAGTAAGGGGAACAGGGACTGTCTCTGACATAAACTCAGTGGCTGGCTCTTTGATCACCTCCCCCTGAGGGAAGAGCAGCCATACCAAGCCACAGAGGAAGACAATGCAGCCAGTCCTGATGAGACCTGATAGGTTAGGGTCAGATGGAAGGGGAGGAGGACATCCCCTATCAGTGGACTTGGGGAGGGGCATGGGAAGAAAAGAGGGAGGGAAGGTGGAATTGGGAGGGAATGAGGGAAGCAGGCTACAGCTGGGATAAAAAGTGAATAAACTGTAATTAATATAAAATAAAAATAATAATTAAAAAAATGGACTCAGAATCTTAAAGCTTAAATTCTTGGTGTGCCTGTTTTCTGCACTTCCATAGGCAAATCCTAGTTTGACATGTCTCAAATTGTGTGTCAAAGCACCTAACTTTTACACAGAACTCACTGGGATAGCCCTGAACAATTAAATTTTGAAACCAAATAAACAGTGAAACTTGAAAGTTTGGCAGCAAATTTGAGGTAGTTCAAACTTTCAAGGTAAGATTACACTATAATCCTTTCAATTTCATTTTTGTGAAGCTAAGTTTTCATATTTCCTTCAGGCACTGGGTTAGAGACAGATTGTTTAGTGGAAAATCAACAAGGAACAGAAGATGAAGAAAACAATGTCTAGCCTGATTCCTAGGCAGGGGAAGCTATGTAGTAATGGACACTAGCAATTAACAAATTACAATAAAGAAAAATTAAAATGTTTTCTTTTCATCGATGCACATTGTGGTTTTTAAACAGCTAATGAGTTCTTAAGGTATGCTATTTAAGTTTCTTGGACCTAACTATTTAGAGCTTGAGGGGCTACAGTTTGTTTTTGGTCAACAGGTACTACAAAGATTTCTGGGACATTAAGAAGTGAACTAAGAAAGCTAAGGACCTTTTGTCTCTGTTTTTGTCATCTGCAAAATGAGGAAAGCTCCTGTACTGTCTTCCTTGGGCCTGTGGAAGAGCAACTGCCACACTGGATATGATGCCCTTTATTATATTGTCTGCCTACCCAACATCCAATCCCAATCTTGATGGAACTTGGGTTAGATCCCAGAATTGCATGTCCCTCCCACCTAAATGTGTCAGGAAACTTATATCTATCATGCCAGCCAGAAAAACTGAGGGGTGTTATCTAAGGAGTATCTTACTATCGCTACTAAACATTGGTGTAATATCAGCAATGACTTCATTCAGTGCAGAGACACAGGACAAAGTTAATTGGGGATCCTGAGAAGTGTGCCACCATGCTCCCTTCCAGAACTTACTACCAACCTAAGGCTGAACTTACTACCAGCCTTAGGTTAGAAACCTAAGAAAATGGAAAATTGCAGGGAAATGGGGCCAGAGGTGTTCTGAGCAGCCAACCCTAAAACTCCTTATCCCTCTGTACTCGGGGCTATAAGTCAGAGCATATTCTTAAAAAAAAAAAAAAAAAAAAAAAAAAAACATATATATATATATATGTTTCTTGAAGCAGAAAGCATCCTGACTCATGCAGGGGAAGAATTTTGTGGATGATAAAATGCAACACCAGTGTCCCTGAAACCTGGGATGTATCTAGGAGGATGGATACAGATAAGTGATGTGGGTGTTTCACCTGCTCCTGTGATTTGTTCTTATAATTTGTGGCATCCCATCACTTCCCAGATGGCACCATCAATAGAGTGAAGATATGTATTGAATAGTATATTCAAAACTGTAACTCCTTATCCCTTGGATTTTCCTATCTTCAGTTGCCTGCTTCTTTCCCATCTTTCTCAAAGCTCATGCTGTCTTCCTTTTTTTTATTATTTTTTTCTTTATTAATTACACTTTATTTACTTTGTATCCCCCCTGTGGTTCCCTCCCTCCTCCCGTCCCAATCCCTCCCTTCCTCCACCCTCTGCATGCATGCCCCTTCCCAAGTCCACTGATAGGGGAGTACTTCTTTTCCTTCCTTCTGATCCTAGTCAATTAGGTCTCATCAGGAGTGGCTGCATTGTCTTCTTTTGTGGCCTGTTAATGCTGCTTTCCCCTCAGGGGGAGGTAATTAAAGAGCAGGCCAATCAGTTCATGTCAGAGACAGTCCCTGTTCCTATTACAATGGAACCCACTTGGATACTGAACTGCCATGGGCTACATCTGTGCAGGGGTCTTAGGCTATCTCCATGCATAGTCCTTGGTTGGAATAGCAGTCTCAGGAAAGACCTCTGTGCTCAGATTTTTTGGTTCTGTTGCTCTCCTGTCCTCTCAAGATCTTACTGTTTCCCACTTCTTTCCTAAGATTCCCTGCACTCTGCCCAAAGGTTGTCCATAAGTCTCAGCATCTGCATTGATAGTCTGCAGGGCAGATCTTTTCAGAGGTCCTCTGTGTCAGGCTCCTGACTTGTTCCCTCTTTTCTCCTTCTTCTGATGTCCAGCCTCTTTGCTTTTCTGGATAGGAATTGAGCATTTTAGCAAGAGTCCATGCTGTCTTCCTTTCTGACCTCAGACTTACATCTAAATCTTTAGTTTGTCATAAAAATTATTTTTTTAAAAAAAGGAGAAAGTAAAAAAATTTCTGCACATAGTCTGAAATCTCCAGAAAGAGGGAAATACATGTCATTAATGTGATACTAACCTTTACATATATATTTATTCTTTAAATTTACAACCCACTGATTCTCATGCACTTTGGGTAATAGCCTGAACACAGAAATCAACATCCAAGTTAGCTCATATTATTGTCCACAGATTTTAACCAATTTGAATTTATTTTTCCCCAAACGTATCCACTGAACATATATGTTTCTAAGAACATATTGTAACAATAACCATGATTTTAAAAAAAAAAAACTTGCTTTGTCCATATCTCTTAGAGCAATGCCATTTGTGATGACGTCTCTTTTTGTGTACAGGTGTTTTTCCTGCATATATGCCTTTGTACCACATGTATAGCTGGTGGTGAAGGAAGACAGAAGAGGGTGGTAGATCCCCTTGACCTGGAAATGCACAGTGGCGAGGTACCATGTGGGTACTGGCTTCTTTGGAAGAACAGCCAGTGCTCTTGACCGCTGAGCCATCTCTCGAGCCCATTGCCTGTTAATCTTGATTGCCAACGGGGTTAGGTTTAGAAGTACCTCAGAGACCAGTGGAACACATTTCTGGGTGTGCGGGTGAGGGCATTTTCATATGGGATTACATCATGAGGACTCTCCCTAAGTGGTTTAACCCACTGACGGGTTTATAGTATGGGCAGCTTCCTAGGAGGCATCGGAACTATGAGAATGGAGCCTGGTTGGAGGATATTGGGCCATTGAGTGGGGATGTTTCCTTGGGGGAACCATTTAATGCCTTGGCGCCCTCCCTAAAGTCATTCCATCTGCATCCTGCATACCAGGATCCTTGCCTTGATGGCCGGATACCTCTGAAACTTAGCACAAGTAAGTCCTCCTTGAAACTACCTATCTCAAGTCTTGTGGTCACAACAGTAAGCAAAAGCAACAGAAACTAAGCAAGACAAAGCCTTTGAATTGTAAGTTTTATATAATCACTTGGATGCTTTATAGAAATGCAAATTTTCAGGTATCACAACTGGCCCACTGGTGGCCGCCTCTTTTGGGAGCAGAGCCCAGATTCTGTGTTGGCAGACTCCATAAATAATGTTTTTGAACTTGATATAAATATTAGAGCCATTACCCCAGAAGCTCATGGCTTAGTGAAGGATTTGTAAATCATAATAAAAAGCAATCCCTATCCTTGGATATATAAACAGAGTGCAATGGGAATATAGCAAGGGTCCTAACAGAAAGAACAAACAATTTCTGAGGTTTCACAATATGTCAGGTGGTCCAAAGTATTAAATTAGATGTCATATGAGAAGAGTGAAATTTGAACACATGACCTTTCTGACATCCCAGTTCATGTTCACTGTATAAAACCATCCAAAGGTTGAGAAAAGCAGGAAGTTTGACAAAGGCTTCATTTGAGCCAACGTGAATCTCCTAACCAGGTGTCAGAAACAAAAGATGTATTCTTAATTCCGGATGCAGTACATGGAAGGAATAGAAGCAAGAGATACCACAACCTAGAGACATTACAGGTGGTCAATTTAAAGAGCTGCAGAGCAGGGGTTGAGGATGGGATTGGTATTTCAGGTAGAAGTTTTATCATTATTTATTGTTGTTAAGATTATGTTTTTTCCTATAGGAAAAAAGAAAGAACTATTACAAAATTTTGCAGAACTAAGGGTAGTCTTGAATAAAAAAAAATTACCAGTATGGTAACATAACATAAATAAAAGCAAAGTAATGTTATTAGAAATGAAAACAGTAGCAGTGAGAAACAGCAGTCACCTGTTCGGAGGGAGCAGTGTTGGAACAAGTGTTGGGGAGGGGAGTGAAGTATAAATACTGTCAAGCTACATTGTACATGCAGATAAAATTTCAAAGAATAAATACATTGTTAAAAAAGAAAAAGTGCCTTTCAAAGGCGTTGGGAAGCCAGTAAGTGATCAGGGATAAGGTTGCTATGGAAATGTGAACTCCAGCACTGGGCAGGATAAACCATGACCCTCTGACCAGAGGACAACGATGACAAAGCTATTAGCATCTTTGAAGCTGTAACAGAGATTTGCAGAGAGGAGCAGCTCACTTTGCACCTGAAGCTCATCCCAGCTGTCAGTCAGGGCCCTCACTGACGTGCAGCTCAGTAGGATGTCTTCTTGGTGCCAGTTGTTCTCTGTGTCACCTGTGGAATAAATACCTCCTTGTTTATTTATTTGCGTGATTAAAACTGCTCTTCATTGCGATTTTTGAGAAGAGAAGCAGGACTTCTAGGGGCAGGTGGAGACGTAATCAGTGCCGAAGCAGACACTGGTGGGAGGGGCATAGCAGACTTGCACTGTGGTGACGGAGAACAAGCCACCAGCCAGTTGCACACAGTACAGCGAGCTGAAGCAGAGTTTTATGAAGAAAACTTCAAGACCATTTGCTAACATCTGATTTCAAAGACAAGGAGTGAATGAAAGGGTGTGGCTGTTTTTATGGAGTATGCATTTTGGTTAACAGAAGTGCCTCAATATTTCAATGCATCAGAGAAAATTATTTACATGACATTTAATGGGCTTTCTAGAAAGCTTTTAAAAATTAAAAACACTCTTCACTTCCAGGAGAAAAAAAAAATCTTTACTTATTAAAATTATATTAGTTCATTTCAAATATATCATAGCTGTATTTATAAAAGGGATTTAATATAAATGAATACTTTATCAAGTGAACTGAAAGGCAGAAAATTGCCACAAGTTAATATCAGTACACACACAAAAATATTCCTCAGTCAGAGGCTCTGATAAGCAGCTTCAGAATGCAATCATTCGTCTGTAATCAAGCCTTTAGTTGTGTCTTGATTGAAGTTCTTGGAGCACTTCATCACTGTGCATCCACATTTCCACACACACAATCATGGGCATCATTCTCCTGTGTAGATGCAGTGTTCAGATTCACTCGAGCTGTGCGCCTGAGTCAGAGGTTGGCTTTCGGCTTCTTACTTTCAATGATTCTCTCTGAGTGCAGCTGACTGATCTCTTCCTGGCTGAACCCAAATTCTCTAAGCACCTCCTCAGTGTGCTCTCCCTCGGAGGAGTCCCTTTTGGTAGAAGGGACAGCTGGGGTCCTAGACAGTTGAGGGGCAGGCCGGGGGCTTACATGCTGCTCCTCGTCAGTGATGAATGAGGCCCGTTCCTTGTTGTGACTGTGGTGGAGGGCCTCCTCAAACGTCAGCACTGGGGTCACACATGCATCTGTTCCGTCGAAGATCTGGCACCACTCTGCCTTGGTCTTCTTTGCAAACACATCTGCAAATTTCTTCTTCATTTCCAACCAATCAGCTACGCTCATCTGGGCAGGGAGTTCATCAGACTTGAGACCAAGTCCTGAGAGGGAAATGTAGTATCTTAAGTTATTATGCTTTGAGAGGGGTAACTGTATCAATGAGGAGTCCACTCTGACAATCTATATCAGGATTTCTCAAATGAGTGGCAAAAAAAAAAATGAACTAGTTTGAAGTTGGAGCCAATAGCTGGGGCAGCGAAAGTAGCAGAGACACAGCTCAAAACAAGCTTGTCATCATCAAGAGCTTTTACTAACATTTCAGGAAACAAAGTCTCTTTTCAGTTATCTAGTTTCCAGATATTGATTTATTTCCTGAGAAGGTTTTCAAAAAGAAATTTCCCCAAGATGCTATTATCTGTCTAGTTGAATTAAAAGAACCACACTCTTCATATAACATTCACAAAGACTTTAAAAATAAAAATTTTAAAGAGAGACCTTGTTCCAAGCAAGGAATGAGACAGGAACTAGAACTCCAAGGAGTTCTCTGAACTCCTCCCAAGTGCAATGGGATCCCAGTGCCCACACTATTACATGCAAACATTTGCACATACAAACATCATACATACAAGCACATCAAAAAAAAAAAAAAAAAAGGATGCCTTTTTTTTTTTTTTTTTTGAAATGGACAAACTGATCCTAAAATTTGCACAGGAATCCCAACAGCCCAGATAATGCTGAAGAACAGACACATCCCAATTTCAAACTTACTGCAATAATCAAAACCTAGTGTCATAAAGACAGACAATGCAACAGAAGTAAATCCAAAAGCAGGGCTGGGGCTATAGCTCAGAGATGGGGCACTCTCCTGCCATGCGTGTGTATGGGGGGTGGGGTGGGGGTGGGGAGAAGGAATCTGCACTCAATCCTCCTACTACCAAAAAAACAAAGAAGAAAAGAAAAAGTAAAAAAAAAAAATCCTAAGATAAACTCTTACATGTTTGGTCAACTGACTTCAAAAAATGCAAATATTGTTCTATACAAGAACTGTCTTTTCAACCAATGATACTGGGAAAACTGGAGATCCAATAATATATAAAAAAAAAAAATTAAGGGTTAAATCCTAACTCACCCTGTACAAAATGTACCAAAGGCAGAATGTGAAAACTGCCAACAACACAGCCTTCATAAGAAATGCTGGGGTGAGACTGAATAACTGAGAGCCACCTGTACTAATTTCTATAATGATTACCAAAGGGTGGAGGAAATGTACTCGGGTAGCTTTCAGCAAAGTTACTAGCACTGAAGAGAAGCTGTGATCTTTTAAGAGTTCAGGCTGAAAACCTTTTCAACGAAAATATCTTCACTTTAAAATGTGACTGTTGACAAAAAACAACAAACTAAAATTTACCTAACTATAAGGATGTGTTTTCTGAAGACAATACATACATACATACGGCTGTTGTGTGATGTAAATTCCACCATGCTGCATCCACACTGACTCCCAGGGCTCTGTGACCAAGACATACTGCACCAACCACTGTCCCTTCAGCCAGCATTGTCCAGTCCAGAATTCTTACGTAAACCTTTAACTATAGCTTCTGTTTCTTGGCGGAAAGGCATCATACATGCTCTACACAAATCATCATGTTCTGTAATTTTATCAGCTGTTTTGGAGTTAGTAAGGCTAGTATATGTGATCATAAAATGCTTGGGGGTATTTATGAAAGCAATCAAATAGTTTGTAGTAATATACATTTAAAAAGGTACCACACAACGAAACTCTAAAGTAGGGAGGCAATTGTATTGTATCAGTTTTTTACACAACTGAAAAATCATCAAATAGACATTAAGTGCACTTGTAAAACACTGACAACCTTAAAGGTTCTTCAAAGGTGGGAGGAATGGTGCATTTCTGTTCTTTCCATAGACTGTGGGTGGCACCTCTCAACCATCATCAGAGAGCCACCTTCTTGCCACAGATGTTAATTAACACTGAGAGCCACAATTCAACGATGCTCTGTCAGTGATCTCAATGTCTCAGAGCACTCATTCCTAAATGGGATGCCTTTATCCAATTCCTGAGTCAGGGCTCGGGGATCTATGCTGAAGATCTAAGAGCCAGAGGTGATGGAGGACTCCGGGGGAACAGCATCTTCCAGACACAATAGGAACATGTGGCCGCAGGCAGACTGGGACAAGACCTACACAAACTCCAGCCAGACAAACCTCCAGCAGTGGGAAGGGATAGGATATACAAACCCACCCCTAACCAAGAAGGTGTTTACAACTGATACCTCCCGGGAGAGGGAAAATCAGTCCTCTCCAATGGTAGTGACATTGGATATACCAAGTATACTACAGAGCAGGTCCCATGCCCAGAAAGGTAGGTGTCCACCACAAAACTCTCTCTCCCTCTGTGTGTGTGTGTGTGTATGTGTGTGTGCATTCATGGTTTGACATTAATTTTTTCCCTTTTTTGGCTTTTAACTTAGTTTTGTTTGTTTTGAGACAAAAAATAAACAAAGTTGATTGGGAAAAGAGGTGAGGAGGAACTAGGAGGAACTGGGAGGGAAAATATGATCAAAATATACTGTGCAAAAATTTTTAAATAGTAAAATAATTTCTAAATAATAGGAAAGACCTACAAGTAAAGTGGGAGCAAATGAAGAAGATGGTAAATGCCAACCAAAGTACCAGCTTTCCTACTAAATGGGTTTTTAATGTTTCTTAAGTTCTGAGTTATTTTGTAGAGTAGTTAACTTATCTGTCAATTAGAAAGACAGATGAAATGCCCCATGATATATTGATGGCTAGTTACATTAAACTAGAAAGTTGGGTGGATAAAAAAAAAAAAAAAGACATCATGGAATTCAAAAGATCTCAAAGTCAAGATTAAACAGCTGATGGTAAAGGGAACTTAGGGCTACTTACCTTTGAGCAGCAGCTTATAGAACTGGGGTTCAATTGCACCAACAGCCATGAACGCTCCATCCGAGGTTTTGTAGGTTGTGTAGAAAGGAGCCCCGCCATCTAGCATGTTTTGTCCTCGAGGCTGATCCCACAGCCCCATGTGCTGAGTTTTCCACAGGAAAGAACTTAAGTATGCCGTTCCTTCCACCTTGGAAGAAGCAGGACATTTATGGATGCAGGGGCTTACATAAGTATAAAGGAGGGATTATGTATCTGATTATTTTACGGCCCACGATTAAATCTAACCATACAATTTATTTGATATTTCTGCAAATTGGGATAAAGAAGGTTTATGGGAGAATGCACTGGGTACACTGGACACTTCATGAAACATTTTAAGACTTAAAGAAACTATGTTTGTCTTCCTTTCAAATACTGGCAAGTGTTGATGACTTTTGAAGTTAGGTAAAGATGCACTGACGCCCATTGAATTATTTATTCTCTCTACTGTTGTTTGTACGTGAGTACACAGAGGTCAAAGGTCAATGTCAGGTGTCTTTCTCAACTGCTTTGTGACAGAGTCTCCTCCTGAACTTGGAGCTCACCAACCTAGACAAGGTAGCCAGGAAACCACAGGGATCTTGTGTGTTAGTCTCCCAGGACTGGGATGGCAGGCAATGCTGTCTCGCCTGGGTTTTTACTGGGGTGTGGGGAGTCTGAACTCAAGCCCTCACACTTCGACACCAAGCACATGTTAACATGACTGTGAATACACACACATTTAATTTCATTGCCTGAGAGCACATGCACACACACACAATGCATGTGCACTTTAAAGGGCACTCCTAAACCTAGCCTATTTCAACTTTACTCCAATCCAGTATCTTTCATGATCACTGGCAGCTTGAAAAACTAAATATAACCATGTGAGTGGCAAACATTCAGGTTTTCAAAGTCCAAACGAATCAGTTTGGGACTAGTACCCTTCTGCCCCCTAAGTAATCAAATGGATTCCAGTGCCCAGGTGACATCATCATGGGGCTCAAGCTGAAGCCAAGGGGCACTGGGCTACCTAATGTAGAAAATTTTCCATGTCTAGGGATTTTGTTTCTTTGTTGGTGGTGTTTGGAGGTTGGGGGGGACAGTTCTGGAGAGTGGACCCTGGGCCTTGTATATGCTTAGCTATTACTCCACCCCTAAACTATGCCCTCAGCCCTCTTTGCTTTTAACTTTGAGACAAGGTCTAAGCTGCTCAGATTGACAGGAATATACTCTGCAGCCCAGACAGACCTCACAGCTGCCATCCCCCTGCCTCAGTTTCCTGAACATCTGGGATTACCTGTGCTATCTGGTCCTATATTCTGATGCCAGTGTCCCAGGAAGAACCTCACCTTGAGGTTACCTACAGAGACTTCCATTCCAATAGTGAGCTTGGAATTCCTCAGCTGCTGGCTGGGAAGAAACTGGAAAATGTCCTTTTGCATGTATCCCTGTTTTCCCTTTTAGCCTAAAATCTCAGATTCTCCTGAATGCATGATGATGATATCTGTCGTTGCTGGATACAGTCACAGTATACTTAATGATGGAGATATGGAACCCAACTATTTATGCTCACGTAACTGAAAAAGCCACAGGTTAGGGGATAGTATTTTTGTTAGGGGATAGTATTCTCACAGCTGTATAAGGACATCTAATGCACACACAGATATGCATACACACGAAAGTATGCCACTGCTTTAAGTAAACTTTATGCTTGTCTTTTAATGCTTTTTTTTCCTGACAAATCAAGAGATTAATTCATACTGATTGCTAAACCCTTCCACCTTTGCATGAATTTGACCTTGCTATTAAAAATACTCTGAAGGTAACTATTGTTCTATACAGGTCTTAATTTGGGTTTGCTCATCTAAAATCCAACAAGTTAATGCCTACTAAAAAAAAAAAAAAAAAAAAAATGTGCATTTTTTCCTCAGGCAGTCAATGGAGCAAACGGGAGGCAAGCTGGGGCCCCTGGCTCTCATGAGAAGTTCAGAATACTGATTAGCTGACTTCCATATTCAGGACAAGGACTGTAAAAGGTTTTCAGATTCCAAACGGAACCAACTTTGTAACAAAGTGTTTCTGCTGTGCTCATCATAAATGAGACACACTTAGCATCCTGCCAGGCTCCATCTCATTTCAGGTCTGCCAGGGCCAAGGATTCTGTTGCTAAACAGCAAGAAGCTGCTGGCCTGTCAGAAAAGATACCTGCCTTGCCTTAATCTGTGTTTACAGGGCTCACTGGGCTTAGGAAGTAATAAATGAGGCTTACTGAACCCACTGCCTTGAGTCATTAGCCAAGAACGATTAACCCCATAAGGATGAACTCCAAGGAAACTTTATACTTTCATATACACTCATTCCTTACTATTGTCTAATAATTAGGTAAATCTAATTAGATACATTCTGATGAAAAGTATCTTCTATTTACATTGAACTATAAACAATAATTTACATGCAGTAAACTATGAGTCCTTACAACTCCAAAGGCTACATGTTTCTCCTCAGTTGGTTAATTTTGGATGGCATGGCATACACTGTGCCCACAGGGGGCAGTGAAGGTGAGCTATTCAAAGGCCTTTTGTATGCGTTAGAATACCATAGTGACGCCACCTTATTGGCTTGTCTATATGCTTGTTTATTTGCTTTGTGTGAGAGTGTAAGAATGTATCTGGAGGTCAGAGGATGAGTTGCGAGAGTCAGTGTCCTCCTTTACCACGTGGCTTCTGGGGAACCTGGGTTGGCAGCAAGCATCCTAATCTACCAAGCCATCTCTCCCAGCATGCTCAAAACGTTCTTAAAAATCACCCAATTCTTGTGTTGTTTTTCAACATTTTTCTCCAGGTTCTCTTTTGTGATTAAAATAGAGCTGCCAAGTACTGGCCCTTCAAATCTGAGCATCAGAAGTAGTCGTTAGCCTGTGAAGCAGGTGCTTAAGGGATGCTCAGAAGGGTGGGACTTCCTGTCTAGACTTCCTGCTGAATTTCGTAGAAGATGCATCAAATTTCTATTTTATAGAAAAAGATCTCTTGCCAGACATGGTGGCACACATCTTTAATCTCTGCATTCAGGAGGCAGAGGGAGTTGGATCTCCTATGAGTTTCAGGACAGCCAGGGCTAACACAGAAAGACCCTGTCTCAAAAAACAACGAACAAACAAACAAAAAGCCCCCAAAAAAACAAAAACCTTATTGATGACTTAAATTTAAATATGAAATCTTACTTATTTCCCATCTTATTTACATTTATTTCCCATCTTATTTAGGCAATCGTATATCATAAGAAGACGAAAACGGCAGGCCTGTCCTCCTCGCCCTGCCCCCAATCGATACTCACCATGTTGGCATCAATGACCTGCCCTAGGCCAGAGCGTGTGCGTTCAAAGAGGGCCAGCAGAATGCCCAGTGTGCACATGAGGCCGCCGCCACCGAAGTCAGCCAGGAGATTCAGCGGCGGGTATGGGTTCTCACCACTTTGGCCAATCTTTGACAGAACACCTGCACCATGAATGACAAATTGAATGCCACCTTTTAGAATAAACACGTGAACATCTCAGAGGGACAAACGGTTTTTATAGTCATTGACCTGAGCACACAATACTCTTCAAACTTTGTTAAGTTAAGTTAAAAACAAAAACAAAAATAATCATCCCTACTGATGTTTCCAATATTTTATTAAAGTTTTCACTTACTAAGTTTCAGAGAAAACATAATGAGTATCAACTTGCTTCCTGGCTCTAAAACAGTATAATGCACTTTCATTTATATTAAAGAGAGATGAAAGAAAATAATCATACCGAAAAGAATTAAGTTTTGAAAAGATGTGAAAAGCCACCTTTATACTTAACTCCCCCCACCTTTAACTACCTTCTTACATTAGTAGGAGATTTGTTTTCATCTGTAACACACAGTTCTTAGACACAATGCAAACAGGCCATTTTAATCATGCTCTCACAGGCACAGTTTCTAAGAGAGTGACAGTGAGACCTGACAGCTGTGGGCTTTTAGAGTGTTCACAGAAGCATGAAAGGATGGCTCAAAACGATTCTTGAAGGAATGTCAGAATCGGACTGAATCGATTTCCCATCAGTGGGGCGACTGTACATCTTATCACTGTGCCTCTCCCTCCTAGGAAAACTGACTCCCCAGTTACACAAAGTAAGTGTGACTGGGAACTATTAGCCCTCAAATGAGTGGGGACAGCAGACAGAGCTTAAGAATGGCAGGTCTAGGAACTCAAATCAACCTGTTTTCAACAACTATGTTCTCAAGCTGTAATAAGTATTTACATCTTCACATTTTAAAATTCGTGTTCATCAAGTCTAGAGGCTAGAAAGATGACTCAGTGGTGCACAGTGTATACTGTTGCTGCAGAGGACCCACCTCAGCTCCCAGCACCCACATAGAAGGGTTCACAATCCCTGCGGCTCCAGCTCCAGGTGATCCAAGACCTTTTCTGACCTCTAGAGACATGCATACTCAAATGCATATAATGCATATACACACAAACATTCACATAACGGAAAATAATAAATATTCTTCAAACCCTTGTTAATCAAAGTAACTACACTTCCTGATTTTGGTGCCAATTCCAAGTGTTTTAGAAGACCCTTTCCAATATACCTGACAAAGCCAAGTAATTGATGTCATGGCCAGCTACTTTGGAGAAACTTCCCGAATGGCCAAATCCACTCAGCCTGGCATAGATGAGCTTTGGATTGTCCTTCAGTAGAATCTCTGGTCCAAGCTGGAGTTTCTCCATGACACCTTTAAAGGAAAGTAATCAAATGTTTTGTGTGGTTTGTTGTCGTTGTTGATGTTTTTTTTTTGGTTTGTTTTGTTTTTTTAAGAGTGTACAAGCCAAAGACGGATAATTCCTTCTATGGGGGGCAAAGTAAAAGTGCAAGCTTGCAAATAACACCAACATTATTTGTTGTGATTTTGGTGAAAGTTGTCAGAATTATGAGTCAAACTACTCAAACCACTCAACCACATTGACCCACCCTCATCTTCGAACAGGGCTTTTTTACATTATGATATAATCCTAAATGTTACCATGACTGTCTTCAGATATGCTTGTGGAGACCAAGAGAGTTACATATAAATATGCCTGGTGAGCCACTCCCATTCATTATCAAAACTTACTGGACTCTACCAGGCAATGTTAGTAAGAAGCAGGAGTGGCTCAATCAGTGATGGACGAGAGCAGGGCTGGTTGGGATTACCGGGGAAATGCCTTTAGGCTTGTAACAGTTGCAAACGCCGGTATACAGCCAGATAGTGGTTCATGTCACCGAGCATGCAAGCGCTCGAAAAGTGATTCTGTTAAGGACTCCGTCCTTGTTTGTCGATAGAGCAAGAAAGTTTGTTTTTGCACAGCCCAAAGTAAACGAGTGATCTTGAAGCTGGAGCTCGGGAATGCCAGCATGTAGGGAAAGATTAGCATGGTCTGTGAATGAGCTCAGAGCATAAGCATACCACGTACCAAAGGGTCAGTGGCTATATTTTCCAATCTATTTCTTGCACTAGATTCTTATACGGTTCAATATGCCCCAAATAATTAATAAAGGCAAATCTAGAAGAGTGCTTAAGGGAAAAAACTCAAAAGCAAATTAAAAGTCTAAGAAGGAGTCGGAGAGTAACGGGGCAGGAGGGAAAGGCGACCTCGCCGCGCAGGCTCGGCTCACCGCAGCGGAAGGGCTCCAGCAACACGTCCGCGCGTGCGCACAGGCGCCGCAACACCGTAGCTCCGGCGGGCCGCTTCAGGTCCAGCACCAGCGAGCGCTTGCCCCGGGCCAGGCGACTCACGTCGCCCACGGAGCCTGGCCGGTCCACGCGCACCACCTGAGCGCCGAAGTCCGCCAGGACCATCCCGCAGAATGGGCCCGGGGCCAGGCCCGCCAGCTCCACGACACTGATGCCACGCAACGCCATGGCCGGTCCTAGGGCGAAAGGCGACCGGCCGGGCTCCGCACCCACCATATACCGCGCTCCCCACGCCCTCCCCGCGCCTGCGCGCCACCTCCTTGGAGGCTACGCGCTTGCGCACTTTTCGCCCGCCCCAGGCGTTGAGTCCATTTATCTGCCGGACTTAAGTGTTTAGGTCCAGCGTTGCAACCTTGGCTTGAGTTGAGTCCTCTTCGGACGCTTTCACTGAGTCCCTACCCGGGCCCCGCAGTAAGAAACTAAAGGTGTTGAAGCACCTTACTACTTAGAACAATTTAAGGAGGGAAGGACAGTTCCTTTGGTAGGCCACAGGGTGTCTCCCTAGACGCCCTGAAAACTACTTTGAACCCTCTCCTACATGCCCTTAGTTTTAAGAGGAAGGGCTGGGGTTGTAGGTCAGTTGGTACAGTGCGTACCTAGCATGCAGGAAGGCCAGCACCGCTTAAAACTCCCGTTTATAGGTGTGCAGCCTATAATCCCAGCATTTAGAAGAGTCTGGGATATCAGAAGTATTCATTCCAGGTTGAATGAGAGCTTTAAAAATAGATTTGGTCTGTCAGCTATCAGTTTTGTAGACGATTTCAGTTTCGGGTTAAGAAACTGTTTTCAACCTTTAGAAAAAGGAGAACAAAATGATCACAAATACCCCACCCACATCTATAGATCATTTTTGTCAGTAATGGGTGGTGCTTGTTTTTAGGTGGCCAGATGGCAGTTTTTGAAAGCTCTAGGAAACCGAATAGAGATGGATGTGAATGCTAGAAAACTCCGGCACTGGATCTTAACAAGTGAGACAGATAATAAAAGCAAAGGCAAAATACTCATTGTTGTAGCCAAAATTCTTTTAAACAGCTCCTGAGTTTTAAGATACTTTAGGGCAAGAGGTCAGGTCGGAGCCCTTCGAGAATGAGCTGCCTCCTGCTAGGGGCAGACACTGGGAGCGAGGTCCCTAATGCTCTCTGCTTCTCTCACGCTGTGCTGTCTCAAGTGCCTGTCCTTGCTGCAACCTAAAGTTTCCCTTTCTCTCTGCATCTTTTCTTTGCATTTTGAAAACCTGGAAAGGAAAGAACAAACTTGCAAGGAATGGTAATGTTATGGCTTCCACACTGAGACATTAACTTTCTTCAGAGTTGCTTCCTTTCTATTTTTATGAAAAAAAAAAAAATCAATGGTACAAATGTGGCTTGAGCTTACACACAGGATCATAGTCACATGAATCAAAGGTCTTAGCCATCATGCTTTACATATCAGTTCAAAGTACTGACATATCAAGAGGCCAAGACAAAGCAGACTGATAGGAGATCTTTCCTCTGCACACACTATCCTCTAAAAGCTAATCAGAGGAAACAGTAACATAAATAATGCATATACAATTGCTTTTGGTATGTGGCTTACATTTGTAATCCTAGCACTTGGGAGGTGAAAGCAGAACTACAAGGAATTTAAAGTTGTCCTTGGATATATAGCAGTTCAAAGTCAGCCGGGGCTACATGAGACCCTGTTACAAATCAGAAACAACAAAAACTAGAAGCTTTAATTTTTTTGTGTGGGGGAGCTGGGTATGGATGTTTTGGCATGTCTGGTGCTTGCAGAGGCCAGAAGAGGGTGTTGTATCTGAGGACATAACAGTTCTCTGCAGGAACTGGAGTTACACATAACTGTAAGGTGAACACTAGACTCAAACTAGGGTCCTCAGGAAAAACACCCAGTGTTCTTAACTGCCGAACCATCTCTCCAGCCCGTAAAAGTATATTCACAAGCGAATGACAGTCCTCTGTTGAGTCAAGATAGGCAAAGACGTAGAGGAGGTGTGAAATGGTATGCTTTAAATTATAAGCTTAGGTTAGTCATGGAGTGTTCATGCTTAAGGTTCTGGGTTTGACTCCCAAAACTCCAAAACAATAATTAAGCCACAAATTTATACAGAAAAGGATCTGGTTCTTTGCCGTCTGTGGCTGTTCAAATCTGCTTCATGCTGTGCTCACACTTACTTGACTGTGAGCCTCTGCTGAGAACTTGGGGAAAGAGAAGGGCGATCTTTTAACAATTGAGCAGCACCATTTCTTGTGCTGCGTTGATATTTGCCAGTGCTAGCCACACCCTTTGGGATTTACATTCTCATTTACTTTGTGTGCGTGTGTGTGTGTGTGTGGGGGGGTGTTAATGAGGATTGGGCCTAGACCCTGTGTGTGCCTGGCAAGCACTTTGTCCCCCTGGGATATGCCTCCAGCCCCGTCCTTACTTCCTAGTTTCTGGATCTTGCCGAGTTGCCCAGGCACTCTGAAGCTGTGACCCTCCTGCCTCAGCCTCACAAGGAGCTGGCATTGCAGACTTCCACAATCAGAGGTGGTTTTTATTTTTCTTTTGACTTAACTTTCATTTATGATGTACTCCCTTAATTTTTTTTCACTATTTCAAATATCAAAATAGCATCTGAGAATGTTCTTAATCCATTAGATAAAATTCTAGAAGAATATGTGTATGTATATGTATGTGTGTGTGTGTGTGTGTGTGTGTGTCCATTTCCATATATGCTTATGAAGTTTTTCTTACTGCTGTTTTTAAAGATAGGGCAAAATTTTCCTTCAAGACACTAGGTTACTGGACACTCTATGTCCTTCACACACTTAGTATCTATGATTTTTCTTATATATACATGCACAAATGTAGTGCTTTTTCCATTTATTCACTTATTCACTTATCATGATTTGTGGCTTTAACTTAAGCAGCCTGACGTAGGACAGCAAAACTTTCTCCTTCTTCTGGCACCAACTTTCTCCTTCTTCCAAATTCCATAGACTGATTTGTTACCATAATTTTAGCAGCCATAACGTTAAGACTTTATTTTCTCTCTCTCTCTCTCTTTTTTTTTAAACACAGAGCTTTCGCATTTTCCCTTAAGGGGAGGACTTCACTGGCTTCTCTTTGGCATGTCCAAATAGTCAATATCGCTGCTTTGTGTTTGGGGCCATTGTTGAGCAAAAAGGGTGTTACTTGAACATAAGGGCAGCAATGTGATATGATGACCAAGACAGCTACTAATGGGCTGGCAGCATACATCGTGTGGATATGCAGAGCAGAGGTTCATGTGGTAAAGGAGTAGGAGAGCGTGAGCGCCCATTAGCCCACTCAGAATGACATACACTTCAAAGCTTATGAAATTCTCAGGTTTTTTATTTGGTTCAGACTTTAGATAACTGCAGAAGACATCACCTCGGATAAGTGACCATTGTGTAATTAGGCCATGAGAAAAAAGCACTGTGAAACCACTGATAGTTACTTTGACCTCCCACATCTCTTAACAAATGTCCTTTCTTTACCCACTGGCATTCATTTGCAAACTTGAGATAATTTATGTCTTCCCACAGCCAAATCCGTGCACAACTCTGCCAGGATGAAAATTAGAATGTTGGCGTGAGCATAAAAAGATTGTGGGTGTGTGATGAAGACTCATCCGTTCAGATATACCCAGGTCATAAAAGGGACCCCTGAACCACTGATGTCTCAAGGACTGAAGGGATGGAGTAGCTGAGAGAGGGGTTGTGTGGAGACAGGTGACCTCGCTGTTTGCAATCTCTAAATTGTACAGCTGGTCACACTGTGAGGATAACATTTTGCTTTACATTAACTACGTGACTTTCGATTGTATGACTATTGTAACTATTAACATTAAAAATAACAAACATGTAATTAATCAGCATGTGTGTTTATTTCCACATGTTTATGCAGTTTTTCTTTCTACAGTTTTATCTAAAGCTATGCCAGACTCTTCCTCCAAGTAGGTAGTGGGTGCTCTTCGGATATGAAATCTCTTTGAACTATATGTAACAGTCAGATATCTTTTGCACTTCTGTGATTTGCCTGAGGAATTTAATCACAGCAAACCTTAACCTGTGATCCCACACAGCTCTGTGGGGAGAAGCACACACTAAATGAAAAAAAAATTTCTGCTAAGGCAAATCATGGCAAATAGCAGTTCACTTTAAAAGGGTATTATATGCAGATTCACGAAGAATTTCAACAAGCTGGTGGATAAAAAGGAGAGGGTCAAATGTTGAACTGAGCATGGTAGCCAGTGAATTAGCTAATAGGACAGTCTGCCTTGACTTTCATTTAATTTATAGGATGCTAAATTAAAAGAACTCACCATTTATAAGCCTGTGCATAAGTAAATTGTAGAAATCTAAAGTAAATTATGATTTAAAAGCCTGTGCACAAGTAATTTGTTGTACAAGTTTAAATTGTTGTAGAAAATAAATTTTCTTTATTACTTTGAAGAGCATTACTTTGAAGGCTCATTACTTTAAAGAGCATTTCTATGTGATATTTTTCAGATAATCTCACAGGTGCATTTTAAATATGATTTGACACCAGGGTAAACACGCTGCAGCAATACTTTCCTCAATGGAACACGCTTGGGTGCTGGGGATGTATGTAGAGGAGCATACGCATAGCATGTATAAGGCTTTGGAGACTTGAGCCTCAGCACTGTGTGTGTGTGTGTTCGCATCTGTGAGTGCCAACGTATGGCACATTCTGTGAAGGTGTTTTTCATGGCAAATTTAATCCTTTTTTATAGATTCTGGGGTGTGGCAAGTTAGGAAAAAAAAAAAACAACTAGCACCTTCTATAGTACTGTGGTATATTAAAAATGCTTTGTGAAGCATTAGTCAAGTATGATAATAAAGAAAATGATAGAACTCTTATTGAAAATGTTTAAGGTATGCTATTATGTATCTCTTAAATGGAATACACTAGTATTTTGCATCCATTAGTCTGCCTGTATTAAGTTTAAAGCCCATTCAACATAATGTGGTGTATATAAACATTTTGGGATAATCCCTGAATTAAAAAAAATGTGATAACATGTATACTATATCAGCTTAACCTTACCTCAGCTGGTTGTGCATGGTCGGGAGAGTGCTACTACAGTCCAGGTAACGCAATTGCAAGCTAGACATGGTAAGCCCAGTTCTGGATTATGAGAAAATCTGCAAGTCTAAGTCACTAGAAACCAATGCTAATGTACATGTTTGTTTGTTTTTAAAAGAACAGCCAATTATTTGTGGGCATTGTAAATACTTATGCTATTTAATGGTTATCTGAATGACTAAAACTTTCCTATCATTTATTCATGAATATAAGAATAGAAATGCTATTTCCCAGTATAGATTTTACAAGTGTTTCTCCTAGATAGGTTCTGGTAAGTGCTCTTATTCTTGCCCTAGTCTGGTCATAATCAGGCTACTCTCTGAAATATTGTGAAGAACAATGAACTCAAAACTTGGTTGACTCCAAAGGAGATACCACATTTAAACAGAGGACCAAAACTATGCAAATGCCTTCTTTGAGGTGAATGCTTATGTCCAACCTACATCAGATAACAATTCCTTCAGACATGTAGGGAAGAATGATGAAGCTGTGGAGTATTTCTCAAGGTCATCTGGGAAGATTTCCTTGTGGTCTATTCTTCTAAGCTCCTAAAGCATCCAACATTATTGGTATACCAGTAGAATGAGTAGCAGAATGACCAATACAACAGTTAAATACTCCATATAGAACCCCAACTTCAACATCCCTCAGATTATAACAACCCCAGCTCAGCTACAAGTCTCCCCCAAAACTAGAGCTATCCTATCTTTCTCATCACTTAGTTTCAAAGAGCAGAAAGCCTGCGAAGGTAGAGAAGCGCTGGTGGTCCCCATGGAGGGCACCGTTGCCCATTCTCAGCCAGACTTCATCCCCTTTGGCCAACTTGAGTACTGCGTGGTTGCTGGATGTATCTGATTTCCCCTTTGTTTCATAGCTGGGAAGAAAAAGAGGGACACACTACTTAGTCTCTCCAATACAAATCCAGGTCTTGAGCATATTCTGTCCATATCTTCTCCTATGCGTTAGGTATAGCCATGTGTTAACCTCTCTAAATGGCATGCAGGTGGGAAAAACATGAACCACTTCTAGAACAGTCCAATAAAACATACCTCCTCCTTTCTTTCCCCTTGCCTCTATCAACAATAATTACTATAATGGCCTTGACAGCCACTTCTAAATATCTGTGTTCTTGAAGACTACTGTGTAGAAGAGAGCGCTCTTACCCTTGCTCAAACTTCAAACAAACACCCAGGATCATCTTACCAAAACTCCCTGGATGAGGAAAAAGAAAAGCTCTACTATCTTTGAACCTTTTCATAGAATCTTTATTACAATAGTTAATTTTCTTCTTACCAATATAGAACTTGGTATTCAAGAAAGTTACTGTCAACAGCCAAAATGAAAATATATTACATTTGCTGATAGCCAGGCAGGATGAAATGTGGAGGTAAATACCATGAGCTGGAAAGATAGAGACTGATGTATGGTGGTTTCAGTGAGAACGGCCCCCATAGGTTCATATATATGAATGCCTACTGCCCAGTTGGAGGACTGTTTCAGAAGGATTGGAAAGTATAGCCTTGTTGGAGGAGACGTGTTATTGAGAGATGGCTTTGAGATTTCTAAAGTCCATGTCAGTCTCGTTCTCCCCCTACACATGCACACACACTTGCCAACTTGTGGATCAGGATGTTAGCTCTTAGCTATTGCTTCTGTTCCGTGCCCTCCTGCCTGCTGCCATGCTTTCCATCATGATCTGCATAGACTAAGCCTCTGAAATAGTAAGCAAGCCTCCAATTAAATGCCTTATTTTATAAATTGCCTTGGTCATGGTGTCTCTTCACAACAGTAAAAAAAATAGCTAAGACACCGTATTATGCTCAGAAGACATTTAGAAAAAGCATAGTAACATAGACCTGGTAAATACACACCACCTAACACAAATGATTTAAAAGAGGCAAATACTCTTTGCAGCTTATAGAAAATGTCTCTTAAAAAGATGAATTTGGAGAATAACAAACATGCTTGAGAGATAGATAGTCTAGACAACCAGGGCCCTAGCAAACCTAAACAAAACAAACAAACAAACAAAAACTTTTATACCTGGAAGAGCAGGGGGACAGGGCTGATATGTTCCCATTAGAAAATTTCATTCAGAGTCACACTCTATGTAACTCATAGATAGAAATATTGTCTTCCTAACCAAATATACTGTTTGAAAATGTCTTTTGGTAACATTTAGAAAAGGGTAAAACAACAATGGGTCACAAGAGGCTAAAACTGTCCAGAAGTGGACTGGATATGATTTGTATCACTGCCTGGAAGCAAACAGATTGGAAGCCTTGTATGTGTCTGAGGAAGCTGTTGCCAGAGACCCAGCTGGGGGTAGAAAGACTTGAGATATTTGACTCATATCTCAGATTTGCACCAACAGGAAATGGAACATAAAAAAATCACCAAGATGGACCTACTTGCCCTTTGGATGTGACTATGGAGAAAAGTAGACAAAGAAGACCCTTCCAAAGGATAGAACAGAAGCCAGAGGGAAAACCAGCTGAGGGGTTGAGTTATGAAAAGGACTATTCACCTCTGAGTTCTCGGTTTGAGCTAGTTTAGGCAATCTCCCATGGAGACCAAGATAGAGGAGTGTGTCCTATAATACAAAAGAGTAAGAGCTGGAAGAATATTTGGAAATCAAGTGCCTGATGTGGGCTGGCTATTCACCAGAATTTATTCTCTCTTTTCTATGGTTTTGATAGAAAATTCCACCACAAGCTCCTGTGTGTGAGCAGTTGGTTCCCCAGCTCGTAGAATGTTTTGGAGGGTTGTGGAATCCTTAGAAGGTAGGGCCTAGCTGGAGAGAGTAGGTAGGTTATAACGGTGTTTCCTTGAGTTCACCCCATCCTTAGATCCTTCCCACTTGGCTGTCTCTGTTTCTGGTTCAAGTGAAATGTGAGGAACCCTGCCACACACAACTCCTATAAGGAACTCTTCCATGCCTTCTTCCCTGATGTGATGGGCCGGATTCCCTCAATCTATTAGACAAAATAACCCCTCCCTTAAGTCGCTTCTTCACAGATACTTGGTCGCAGAGATGAGAAAAGCAGTCACTGCCCTCCTGGGTAGGAACCGTACTAGTTTCTTGCTGCCCTTGGATTGGTTGGGTGGGGTTAAGAACAAAGTGATTTAATCCTCGGAATACAATGCCAAGTAAATCCGTTTAATTGCACAGAGGTGCTGGCTCTCTGCATGTCCTAGCAGCAGGGCACGGTGTGGGTGTGGTGCTTTCTAAAACGCTTCACCCCAAGGATCTCTGGGTCCCAGGTGGGAAGTGTCAGAGCAGGAAGCTCAATACAGAGAAAACCTTCTAACTTAACTAGTCACCCAGCGGAAGCTGTGAAGGCTGCTAACACGCCGTGCTTCAGGCAAAGGGGGGGGGGGAAGCAGAAGAATCAGAATAGAGGGGAAAAGGGGTCAAGAAAAGGATCTGTGCGGTGGTTACGGAGAGCGCTGCCGGTAATTCGTCCATTTCATAAGTTTATATTATGGCTCTCCCCAAAAGTAGTGATAATTTGACCAAACATGGGAATTCTTGCGGAGAATAAAACTGCCGCATTAGGCTCTGTTAATCCCTTACGGCCTGTTAATCCCTCAGCTCCTCCGTGTTCTTAGACTTCTTCTGTTCCCCTGTGACAGATGACGTCACGTACCTGTACATGCTGAAGACCGTGTTGCCATTGTGCATGAGGTACACATATACCTCGTCCACGTCCTCATGCTTCATCATGCTGAAGGTGAAGAAGTACACACCTGGAAAAGGCAAGGATTTGCTCGCTCACCTGTGCAGAGAAGGTGAGGGATCTCACCCCCGCTGCTGTTATCTTCTGGGTACTGTGCCCTTTCTTCATGGCCTGCGTGCAGGAATATTCTTTCATCTGCTCACCTTCAACGTGTTTTGATTATTTTTAACTTTCCTAATGTATTTCCTGTTTATGCTTCATAAGATTGAAAAATCACTAAGAAAATGAGTCAAACATGAAATTAAAATGGACAGCTACCTCCCACAAATGTCAGCCAAGGTGATAAAATTTTGGGGCACAAAGTAAATGTTACATAGTTCTAGAGAAACAGTTCAGGTAATTTCTCACATGACCACTGTAAATCAGTAAAATAATGTTTAAATAAAAATATTCACCTCTTATTCATCCCCAATACCTTGTTACTAAAAGTATGTTCTTACTGATTTATGTGTTACAGTTTTTTAACTACTACTAGTATAAGAGAAAAAACCCAGAAATATGTACAAAAGAAAACTAACAAGACAATGGGCTATTCCTATTTCTTTTCTATGAAGAAATCAGCTCTAAGGATGCCATTATTCTTCCTCTGATGTTGAGCCAGGTCACAAAAAAACAAGTATGCTTTGTTAAGTGTCAGAGATGCGTGCTTGATGACAATCAGTGATGCCCTTTCGTACACCTGGAAATTGGGTCATGAACGAAATCAAAGACAGGTGGAAACTACAGGAATTCAGAAATAGTTTATAAGTGCTGAGTGTTTTACATTTCATAAGGTTTCATTTCACACACACATTACAATTTTCAATGCCTTCAGAAAATAAATTGATAATCAAAATGACAGGAAAATACATTAGTCTTCCTTAAAAATAATCATATTATTGATAAAAATAGATTGCAGGGACACTTTAGAAAGAGCAGACAAAGGAACCGCATGGTGAGTAGTGAAACTCTCATAACTAGAACTGCAGATGTGAATTTAAGGTGTGTGCACATGGGGCTTTCTCTGCAAAAAAAAAAAAAAAAAAAGGGAGGGGACACTCATATGCTCTGGTTTTCCAGCTTTTGTGTTGCAGTAACTGCAAACATTGTCTTTCTCTGTCTTATTGATTTTAAAAGTGGGAAAGATAATCATCAGTTTGTAATCATTGGCAAGCTTAAAAAAGTAAGCAGTAAGTATAAGGAATCAAATCATAATTGTTAGCATCACAACAGTGTCCAAGTGAGGTCAAAAATCATTTAATTCTTATGCTCTGATTGGAAAGTCATTGAATTCAGAGGGACCATTGACCTGGTATGGCTAGGCATTTGTCTGTAGCATAGATCATGGTTTCCAAAAATTGTTATAGGAAAATTAAATCCCTCAAAGCAGAAAAAAACCCACAAAAGTGACACTGGCTGATATGTAACAAAGGATTGTCTCTGTATTGCATCTGTTAGGTCAATTCTCACTTAAAGGAGATAGAATAAACCAAAGCACACATAAGAAGCATGTGTGTTAAGTTTAACATAGCCACAGCACTCTACAGAAAATGTTCTTTTCCCTATATACACCATAGAGGGGAGCAAAGAAAGAAAACTGAAATTGAAAAATGGTCAAAGTTATGCAAAACGAAGACAACTGAAGAAAATCAGTATGCTTCAAATATGTGAAGATGCTGCCTGAAGCAGCAGGGGGCTGCGCAGGGCTTCTGAGACCAGATGGAAATAGATCTCAGCTGTGCCAGGAAAAATACACTCCCTGCTGCAGGAAGTCCACTCTGAAGTACTGAAAAGATGGTCCTGGGATCAGGCCTGAAGTGGCTGCTTGCTAGAAAAAATATAGAATGCAAAAGTGTTTCTGTAGTGATAGATGCTGACATCCATTTGCCAGCAAAACCCAGACTCCTGGAAGCCAGAAACTTCAAAGGTGACTCATTAGTCTTCCTGAGAAGTATGGGGAGCTCCCCATCCCCACCCCACCTCCAGTTTAAGAATCTTGTTATGAGCCAGGCGTGGTGGCAGATGCCTGTAATCCCAGCACTCAGGAGGCAGAGGCAGGCGAATCTCTGTGAGTTTGGTGCCCAGCCTGGTCTACAAAGCGAGTCCAGGATAGCCAAGGCTACACAGAGAAACCATGTCTCGAAAAAAAATAGGTAGGTAGGTAGATAGATAGATAGATAGATAGATAGATAGATAGATAGATAGATAGATGGATAGAATCCTGTGTGTGGTGTTCGGTTGATATCCATACGAGCCTGCTGTTTTCTGAAAGAAAAGTGGATCTGGGGGAGAAGGGAGATAATATGCACAGTTGAAGTAGGGGATGAATAATTGGACATGACTCAAGAATCAAAGGGCACAGACCTGAGAGGAGTGGAAGGAGGAGAAACTACGGCAGGGATGTATCGTGTGAGAAAAGAATAAATACAAAGAATAAAAAATAAAAATAAATTTTAAAAAGGACAAAACAATCAGTCCCTTGGCAGCAAGAAGAGGCATTGAAATGCCACATGTTCAAGGTTGCCTGGGCCCCTTCCCCAACAATCTCCTGCAAATAGCTGATCTAGGAGAATCCAGTTCACTCAGTCATCAGCTACTTTTTAATAAAAAGTAGAAAGAACAGCAAGAATTACCCAATGAAGGAACTAAAAACTGGGACATTGGGGAATCCCGGTTATAGTGATTTCCCAATAGTTGTAAAACAAACAAAACACCTGACAAGAAACAACTCAAGAAGCAATAAGTCAAACACATATAAGTTTGACTTATATGTGAAATAGGAATGTAGTCTATCATGGCAGAGATGGTAGGGTACCCCCAGCATGTCATGTGACTCAGCGCCTCTGCAGAAAGACAACAGACAGGACAGGGAGCCAAATTCAAACCTCTGTGCCTGGCCTCGTGACCCACTTCCTCCAGCTACAACTCCAAAAGGTTTCACAGCCTTGCAAAAACAGTGCTGCCATCTGAAGACCAGCTGTCCAAACATGACATTACAGGAGACATTTCACATTCACTCTCCACCCTCTGTCCCAGGCCTCCCCAGGCTCATGGTCACCTCAATTTTTAAACTCTTGTTTAACAGTCCCGACTCTGATCACAAGCGCACAGCATCTTCTGAGACTCGAGACACTCTCTTAACTGTGAACCTCTGTACAGGTCAAAGCCAAGTTACATCCTGCCAGTGTGATGACACCGAGTAAATCTCCCTATTCTTAAAGGGGGATATGAGTGCAAACCAAAACCTACTAGAGCAGCACCAGACCCTCCAGCTCCCTCCCAGTGTGGGATCTGGGGGCTATGATAAAACTGTCTGCTTGTGAAGGGCCTTGGCTGCTCCCCCCCCTTCAACTCTGCTGCCTGTGGCATACATGGCTTCTCTCTTAAGGCAGATCCATTTTATTCCTGCATCCTTCCTTGCTGGACCACCCCAACTTTTATGGGAAGTCCAGCATCTCCAACATTCTAGGAACTTCACTGCAATGAGTTTCACCTTTATGGCTTCATGAATCACCCTCTCAGATCCTCCTTGTAGGGGCTCTGGTCCTATACACATTATATGACCCCAGGGATTCTATACCTTAGGCATCAGGCTAAAAAACACTCCACAACCCCTTTAATGTCTGCAAAAATCCACAAGCATGATGATGCCAACTTCTGCTGCCAGCTCAAAACATGGCCTGGTCCACCTTGCATCGCAACCACTGTCGCCTCTGTGTGCCCTTGAGGCTGATCCTGGGAAACCACTTCCCTGGGTGGCCATATGGGATCAAGAAACCTTTGCGCTTCCCTACCCTCTGGCCTTCCAAACTGCCATGGGAAACCTCCACTAAGCCCTGATGACAGCACTTTAGGGCTGCAGTTCCAAACTCTTCCACATCCCTCCTACAAACAAGCTCCAAATGCTTGAGAACCACGTGGTCAGGCTGACCGTAGCAGTGGCTCCCCTTTCCCGTACCAATTTTCTGTATTACTTTTCTCATTGCTTTGAACTAATCCTTGACAAGAAGCAACTTAGTGGAGGAACATTCACTTTGGCTTACAGCTTAGGAAAGCATGCTGTCCATTACTGCTGGGAAGGCTTGACATCATGAGACAGATGTTACATTGCCTCTGTAGTCAGGAAGCATACAGCAAGCACATAGTGAAGCCAGACCAAAAGCTCAAGACCTGTCCCCACAGTGGTCCTCCTCCTTCAGCAACACCACCCTCCTAGAGGTTCCACCACCTTCCAAACCAGAGCCACCAGTGGGGACCACGTGTTCAAACATACAAGCCTATGGTGGACATTTCTCATTCAGACCACAACACTAGTGAATTCTGAATAAACTTCAAAACCAGTGACAGTGTTGTGTCCAGTGGGTTTCTTCATTCTGGTAAACAGGTTTTAGAGACATGAAACATAGCCATTAGAAGAAGCAGACTAAAGTGAGTATGAAAACTTGGCAGTATTTTTGTAACTCTTCTATAAGTCTAAATTACTTTGAAATAATAACTAAAAGAAAACAATGGGGCTTTTCTTGTTTAGTTTTGTTTTTAGTCGGTCAACTGTTCAGACATTTCAAAGACTTTGATGACATCATAGGTGTTTCCCTTTCCTGATAAGAGGAATATGTGGCTACAGCCCTTATAGAGAGCCACCCTGCCCAGTTGATCAAACTAATAGAAATATTTTCTCTTGGACTCAGTGATTGCATCCTGGTCCTTTAGCCTACAAATGTATCAGTATGTGTTCGATTATAAAATGGCGCATGAAAGGTAATGGCAGTAGATTTATTTTAATAATAAATGGAAACAACCCAAAGGGTTAGCAACAAGAAAATAATTGGGTACATTTTTATACATTAATTATAAAAAAACAAGTAAGTCATTACATGGAAAGATTTTTAAAATATATAGCAAGTTTTTCTTTAAAAAATAAACTATATTCAGAATATAGAGTATGTTACCTTTTATTGAGTAAGATTAAATATATTTTAATAAAATTCAAAATATTTTTTATTTGCCACTCACTTGTTAATATTAAAAACAGATGAAGCATTACTTGATGTAGTGACAAAGGGATAAAGTTATAACACAGTCAAACACTGAGAATTATGTTCCAGGGACTTTGAAAATCAGATATGTCACTGCCATCTCAAGATTACTTGGTTCTATCCAAATAAAAGTTAATAATCTTTGTAATCAAGGTCACTGTTTAGGTTTTCTTTTTCTCCTTTCAGATTTTAATTCATTTACCTGGCATTCAGAGGACCAAATGAGCTGCTTGCTTTCCTTTCTCTATTCTCCCTCCCTTCTTTATTCTCACCCTTCCTCTTCTTTCCTTCCCTTCTTTGTCCCTGTCTTCCTTTCATCCATTTTCTCCTGTCCTTCCTGCCTTTCTTCCTTTTTCCTTCTTCTGCTTCCTCTTTTTCTTTTCCCTTTTATGTTAGCAGCTCTTCTTCATTTCCCTCCTTCCTTCCTTCTTCCTCCCCCCAGTGGCTTCATTCATTGACTTTTACATCTTACCTGACACAGGGGCCCCAAATCTACCAGTCATGACATCAAAGAAGTTTCCAATGTTGGTCTCAACACTGCTGAAGATAATGCCGCTGTTCTGATTGCTGAAGTGAGTCGCCAGAGAAGCCATGAATGCAATCTAAGGAGAAAGCCGGCAGTCAGTCTGTGTGCAACTTGCCTTAAAGAAAAATATTCTTATACATAGAGGCTTTTTTCAATATTATTTGTGATGGAAAGCTTGATCATAAATACCAAACAGTAGACAAAGAAGTAAAGAAATTATAGTAATTTAAAGGGTTTTATTCTGTGTGGTATTACTCTCCATTAACAGCTCTGAACACGTTTCAGAAACTACTAGTCTTTAAAAGATACTCTTTTAAATATTAAAATTCTATTATCAAGAAAAACCTAAAAATTTTGGGGTAAAATTCTCAGGCTCTAGGTATTAGATATACATTCGTATATTAAGGGATTACAGAGACTGACAATTGAACCATTTCATGTTGTTAACCTTAGGAAAGTATCTTTTCGTGCATTAATTAAAAAGTAGGCAACACAAGATTATTATGACTTAATATCAGAGTTCATTACGTGTGTCTATGTAAGTGGGGTTGTTCTGTAGTCAAACTAAGAGAAATATCTGCAAGAAAATGCATAAATGGCTATCAGGATGGCTGATCAGGTAAAGGTGCTTGCTGTTAGGCATGATGACCTGAGTTTGGCCCCCGGAACTCCCGTAATGGATGAAGGAAACCAACTGTCCGGAAGTTATCCTGTCCTTTGACCTCTGCACATATTCTTGCATATGCCTGTGTTCTAAAAATAGAATTAAAATAGCTAAAAGAGCTTTAGAACAACTCTGTCTATCAAGAAATGGCTTAACTTGCTGGAGGACATTTGAAAGTCAGTGACAATCCCTTGAAAATAAATAGGACTGAGAAGAACAAATATTTTAACATGCAAATTATGTTAAATCCCCTTCTTCACAAGCTTCCTGTTTAATTTTTACTTGACAACTTTTAAAATTAAAATATAATTTGCATTTCATTCTTCCCTCCCCACCCAACTCCTTTTTTACTTCCCTTCTCTCCTTCCCAAATTCTTCTTTTTAAATTATTGTTGTTGCATATATAACTGCACAAATAGATAAATTTAACCTGCTGAGTCCTTTTGGTGTTGGCTGTATGTGTATGTTTTCAGGAATCAACACTTGGTATTGGATAACCAATTAGGGAACTCATCCCTGAAGAAAACGAAATCTCCCTGTCAGTGGTTCATGTGCCTGAAGCTCACTGTGTAGAAGTGGAGCCTAAGAAATTCTTAGACGGATAGCTTGTCTGTCAATGTCCAGGTAGCCATATGGTTGAAGTTTTATAGGTGTATCTTTCCAGTTATTTCTAGGAGACACAAACTCACAGCAGACCTCCTGGTCCTCTGACTGTAACATTTCTGCTTCTTCCATGGTGTTCCCTGAGCCTGAGGTATGGGGGTTGGGTTGTAGATATATCAACTGGGCTGGCCACCTCACAATCAGTTGTTCTCTGCATTTCGACAAGTTGCCTTCACAAACTTCTTAAGTCTCTCTTCCAAAGAGCATTTGAAAGCAACATCCCAAATGACAGTATTGATGTGCTAAGGTAAAATGGTTAACAGATGAAATTTAATGATTGCTCAGAGTTTTCACCTTTAAATTGCCTGTTCTGTGAAAAGATCATCTACACAACCTGTGTTGCTAGTTGCCATACATTTTTGGACTGTCACAGAAAATACCTTAGCCTAGATGGCCGCCACCCTACCTGTTCATTTGTACTGGCATATGAATTCCAGTGTGCTGAAATTATTAAACAGCATTCATTAAAAAGTTACCTCCCAGGCCCCACAGTAAGGTCTAGGAACACACGGGACCTCTTATTTTACACTTCAAAAACAGGAGCCCACAAGAATGGTGCAATGTATCCAAGAGTAAACATCATCACATTTGCCCAAACACACAGCAGTTTCCTCTGATATTTCAAATAAGAACTGCTTTGTATCCCAATTCCCACAGGGCCCTTCTTGTTACCAAATTTTCTCCCAAATGCTTAACTTTAACCACAAATTGCACTTCAAGGTAGACACATTAACCATACACAACCCAAACGACAACAAAAAAACCTAGTTTTGATTATAGATATTTTTTATTAGAATTAATTTTTTAAATTTGTTTATTTCTGCTCACATGCATTGGTGTTTTGCCTGAATGAGGTTGTTGAATCCTCTAGAATTGGAGTTACAGACAGCTGTGAGCTGCCGTGTGGGTGCTGGGAATCGAACCTGGGTCCTCTGGCAAGAGCCAGTGTTCTTAACTGCTGAGCCATCTCTCCAGCCCCCATGAATCTATTTTTAAATATTCACAAAATACTAACCTAGGCTTCATTATTTTTCTGGGTGGCCTAATTTCAATATTTACAAATTTTAGATGTTGCAAGAGTTATAACTCATTATAAAAATGAGTTAAAAGTGAAATAATGAATGCATACAACTATAAATGGATGGTGGCCATATAATAGGCTTTTAAAACTTCATGCTGAGATGAACATAATATGGCCGAACAAAACTAAATAACTCAAAAATAAAATGTCCCCACTGGATAGAAAAGTCTGATGTGAAAAGTTTAAATAAAAATTTAACTACAAAATTTGATTTGGCAGAAACAATGTCAATATACAAAGATGAAATTTAGCTACATAAAGGGGCAAATTAGCAAATAAAATATAAGTAAATTCTTAGCCATTCCATTAGAACCCTCTTTTTTATGGTTGTATTTGGTCCTGTGAGAGAGTTTCATACTCAGTAAATGCCTTTTCCTAAGAATGCTCTTAACGCTGTGTCTGGCAGCATAGGCCCAGTGCAAACATCCTGTCATGTAACAAATTGAAACTGAGATTTCCTAAATGTGAGTGCATGCTCCTCTGCTGAAACCCTTTGGTCCCTGGACCCTAGTGATTAGGCAGGGTTAGAAGTCACCTGGAGAGTGGGTTACCTGTAGTTCCGGTGGCACCCCTGGGTAGCCCTTCTCTCCTTTGGGGCCATGCTGCCCTCGTTCCCCTCGAGGCCCCAGGTCACCTTTGTCTCCTTTCTCACCTTTAGCCCCTTCATGGCCAGTGGCTCCATTATTTCCATTGTTTCCATGGTTTCCTTTAAAAATCAGAAATCATAAGAAAACTAGTTGACTCCTACTGGATTTTTTTTTTTTAATGAGAAACAGACCCTTCCTTCAAAAATAGCCAAACTCAGTTGTAAAAGGAAACCATCTAAAACAATCCTGCCCATATCCATAAGGCATCAGATGAATTCTCTTTCACTGGGCTCTGAAAATAGCATTAGATAACAAGACTCCAATGCATGTTTTTACACAAAGCAAGGGATGAATAAGAGACTGTGTAGAACACTGTGTGGAACACAGTGAAGATAAAAAGAGAAAATATCCAGCAATGCTAAGATGGGTAGATTTTAGCAATGGTATATTTTATCAAATTATATATTCATAAAAACATCCTAAATGATCAATGTTATAGTAAACATCAGTGACACCTTTGGGTATAAATTTATAAATAAGTAGAGATGGCATAACACTATTTCAGTTTGGTTTATAATATATCTATGTATCATATTCATAGAGGAAAAACTAACTCTAGATATTATCCATAATTATTTATATTTTTTCCTGAATGATGAAACATGGATAATTTTGTGCTATTCTATACATTTTTCCATCTCCTTCAAATTGTCTCCCAAAGATTTGATGCAATTTTATAATTAGGAGCAAAGCTTATAACATATCATCATATTAAAGTCAAGAGTCAGGGAGTAAATTCAAAGGTTCGCTTTGTCTCCCATATGGATCCTCTGCCTCAATCTTATTTTCATACCTGCTAACCATCAGGCCATTTTGCATTGTGCTTTGTATGTTATCTTTGAAAGGCACTGGATCAGGCTTGCTGTGCTTTCAGACCAATGACCTTTGACTGTTGGATTAAAGTGTTTTGTCACAAAGGTACTTTCTAATGGTAAGCATTTAACCAGAGCCGGCTTGCCTTAGAACCTCCGAGGAAGTCAAACATGGATTTTAGAACGGTCTAAAGATCAATAGCCCTGTGAATCATTGCCTTTGATGGATGAATTAGGTTTAAGCATAGTGCAGGGTTTTGTCTTTTTTTTTTTTTTTAATAAATTTGTCTTCATAACCAGGCAATGGTTCACACACCTTTAATCCCAACACTTGGTAGGTAGAAGAGGCAGATCTCTGTGAGTCTGAAGCCAGCCTGCCCTACAGAGTGAGTTCCAGAACAGCCAGGGTTACATAAAGAAACCTTGTCTCAAAGACCAAAAATAAATAAACAAATGGGTTTATATAAGAAGTTATCTAAGAGTACAAAAAAGTTAATATTTTAATAAATATTAACATCAGTGTAGAGAACACAAGTAGACTTTGGCCAAACCCTGAGAAAAGGTCTTGTTGATGGAACTCAGTAAAAGCCTTGACAGGTTTGCGGCTCCTCAGGGTTGGGGGCAGGGAGGAAGGTGTGCCCTTTGCCTCCCAGCTCTCTATAGTAACAATCTAACAAAGCGTTGCGGAGCCTAACTGGCTGGAACAATATAACACAGAAGGCTGGCTGTGCATCTAAAGCAGCGGTTTTCAACCTGTGGGTCGCAACCCCTTTGGAGGCCAAGCGATCCTTTCACGGTGGTTTGCAAAGACCATCAGAAGTATCAGACATTTAAATTACAGCTCATAACAGTAGCCAAGTTAGTTTGAGGTAGCAACAAAAAAATAATTTTATGGCTGGGGATCACAGCATGAGGAACCGTATTAAGGGGTCACAGCATTAGAAAGGTTGAGACCCACTCATTTCTGAGGTCAGCGGGATATGACGAGCTCAAGAGCATTCATTCCCTGTGCTGTTGTGCTGTTGTGCTGTTGTATGCTGCTCGAGCCCAAAACATATCCATGAGTCTAAGTGGGGCATGGAAACAGGCTCAGAAACTACAGATTGGCAAAATTTCAGAAAAAACAACCTACACTTAAAATGACACAGAACGTTACACTACTCAGTGGGTGACAGAGGGAAGCCCAGCAAGCCTTCCTCTCTAACTTTGCTGCTACTTAATGAGGTTTAAGAACGTTACAGTGTGTTGCGTACAGTATGGCGGAAATACTGGCTGCCGTGATTTAGATAAACGTCTCCCCAGAGCCCGCAGATCAGAGGCTTGTTCCCCAGTAAGGTGCTGTCAGGAAGTGGCGAAAAGTTCCAAGGGGTGTGGTCTAGTTGGAGGTTAGAGGTCACTGAGGATGTGTGCTTTCTGCTCTCTCACTTCCTGCCTGTCATGAGAGGCGTGGCTTCACTCCACCACAGCTCCCACATCATGAGGTGCTGCCTCACTACAGGTCCAAAAGTAGTCAGCCAGCCATGACAGAAACCTCTAGACCCATGAGCAAAAGAAGCCTCTTCTGCATATAAGTTGATTGTCTCAGGTATTTGCAACAGTGACAGAAGGTGATTGGTACATAGGTGCTAAGATGGGTCTCAGTTCCCAGCAAGTGATTCAGTCCACGGGTGGTGAAGAGCCTCCCTCCCCTCCCTTGAGTCTCCGTGTGCGTGCATTCCTGAAGCCTTTTAGATTCTTGGAGTAGTAGAGAGAATAAACACCAGAGAGTAGGTGTTCCATCTGAACTGACCTAAAGAACCCAACTGCCTGGCCAGGTTCTTCATCTCCGCATTTCCCATGCGTGCCCAGTGTACATTAACCCGTTTTTGTTTTACTCTTGGCTCCTATTTTTGACACAGTCTGCTACCGAAATTGCAGTGAAACTTGTGTGTCCTTACCTGGAATGCCAGGAGGGCCTGGAGGTCCAGGGGGGCCTTGGTAACCACGGAAGCCATAATCTCCATGACAACACTTGCTGCAGTCTGGGGGCAGTCCTCCCGCTTGTGGAGACTTAAAAACAACGAGAAAAGAAACTTCAGGTAAAGATATTTGTTAGCACTTAAGAATTTTTAACTCCCTCTGGCTTTTATCCTTAAGTTTTAACTTCATTCAGCTCACAATCACATCAGAAAAGACAGTGAGGGACAGGGGGAGTATCTGTGGTATGGAGGCCAGGGTGTAGTTAATTCCGCAGCCCTTGTGCCTTGGGGTGGGGTGAGGGCCAGCCGAACAGAGAAAGGGCAGCAGTCTTGGGCAGTGTCTGCCCATGTCAGCTTCTGACAACAAAAGGAGAGTCTCATTCAGAAGAGGTCCCAGAAGCCTCTTCTCTCCCTCAGTATTCAGAAGTGGTGCAGTTAGACTAAGGTACTGCTTAGAGCAAACACACCACCTAAGCACGGCATTCCTGACCCTGGCTTACAAGGTCTTGGAAACTCTGACTGTATTGCCACTTTGTCAGACCTCCAGGCACACAGATTGCTGAAGAAGCAAGTTATTCTTTAGTCTGTACAGTTGCTCATTTATCTTTCTAATCGGAACATGGAAATATGTTATCCTACACAACAGCTGTTTTGAGATGTGCACGTGCGTCCTTGTGGAATGGCTGGTTAACATATGCGTCACCTCTTTTGGTTTCCTTTGATGAGTGCATTCAAAATCTCTCTCTTGGCAGTTTCCAAAAATACAAACACACTGCTATTAACTTCGTTTGTCTAATAGATTTTTATTATCTACACATTGAGTAATTTCAACTACCTTGTAAGAATCTAACATTTCACACATTCCTCTCCTAAATTTCAAGTGATTATCTTCCTGTGAGAACTACTATTTAATGAGCGCAAGTGAGAACTAAGCATGCTGAGCTGTGACTTCCAGTGAAATGCTTATTCATACAAAGATAAGATTCTAAAGTGTGAGCTTACTGTGAAGGAACTGAAGACCTGGAGGACTGACTGGAGGGGGAGTCAGAACTTGGAAAATCTGGATTCTCGTCTCCACTGGCAACTTGCCTTTTAATTGTGTCATGCAAAATACTTGCGGAAACTTTCCTAGACACAAGTTATAATTCAACAGTTTTAAAAACAACATGCTGTTGCTAAGGGGCTCATTGTAAAAAAGAAAAGGAGGGAGAAATGGAGTGGGCAGAACAGAGGACAGAGTTAGGGAGCCATGGAGAAAAAGGAGGAAGAGCGAAGAACTTAAAATTTTCGTCTTCTCCTCCACTAGACACCCTTCAAGGAGAACACTGGGCGAAGGCTTTGCGTTTCTGCACATTGACACCTTACTTTTGGTGGTTGGTCTTACCGGCTTGGTCACTGTCCTCCCTTTTCTTTAAAGTTTTCCCTAAAATTATTGAGGGACTAGCCCAGCCTGGCCACACCTTCTGCCGCCACAGCACAGAAAGCAGTGTTGAGGGATCAAGAGCTATAGCTGGAGAAAACTCTTAGCCTTAAGTCTGCCATACCTGTCCGCAGACAAGTATAAATGTATAATGGCTAAGGGGGAAAAAATAACTAACACGCATGGTCAAAGATGAAAAGAGACTTGGAAATCAAACACTGCAGCCAGCCCCACCCACCACACATCTGAGAAGGGTCCTCATTATCTCCTGGAATGCTTCTCTAATGTGAAATACAGCTTCCAAACCCCAGGAAATTCTGAGTTTGGCCAGTGATAGATTTCATGGATAGAGGGCAGGGGATCCTTGTGTCAGAACAGAATGGAAATACTGAGATGCTTAGAGCTGTTAGAATAGTCACTGCAGTGGGGCAGTGTCCCTGCTCAGTTCTGTGTGGCCTAAGAAGAGTTCACTGCCCCCATATGTCAGTTTGAATTGGCCCGGAATTTTCTTTCCAGCTCTAACATGCAAGCAAAGATCCTATTTCGTTTAACTTCCAGTAATAATTTTGAGAGAACTTTAATTTTCGAAATGCTTACACTTTTATTACATTTATTCCTTTCTTGTATGTTCAGGACGTGTGATGTGTCATGTAGTGGCCAGAGGACAGATATGTGGGTCCCAGGTAGTCAAGCTTAGATCATCAGGCCTTGGCGACAAGCGCATCTGGCTGCTGAGCCAGCTCAGATAAGAGCCTTGACACTTGCAGTTTCAAATGATGAGTATCTGAACACATGGAGGTGGCGCTCCTAGTTCTCTCAACCCTCGAGCTGCCAAGAATGAATGGGTTCTGTGCACTATCTGGGGTAACTCGAGGAGCACAGAGCTGCCACCAATGCAACAGACTTCTGTTTCTTCTAGCTGGGTGCTTCCCAGGTGACTCCCATGACATTTCATCACGTGTCCTTTCCTCTGGCCTTACAGTCTAGTTCAGAGAAACAAGCGGGGGGGGGGGGGGGGGTGTGTATAGTGTAGGTGTGTTCTCATGTTTAGTGTCCTTCCTCTGCCATTATTTTGTAAGAAAGTCATTGAATCTGAAGCTTGTTCTTTAGCTAGGCTGGCCCCAGTGGACATCAGGGATCTGATGCCAGTCTCAGCAGACTTCCTTCCACCCCCAGCACTGGGTTACAGGCACACAACCACAGCTGGCTCTTTAGTGCTGAGAATCTGTACTCAGGTCCAACACCTGCACAGGGCTCTGACTGAGCCATTTCTCCAGCCCTTTCCTTAGGCTTTTGATGGACTCGGAAGTTGGACAGGATGTGGTTTAGATATTTTATTCTCACTAAGGAAGAATATACATATGGGAAGCCATTCTCCATGACCTGTTAAATTTGTCACCCTCCTTCCCAAATCAGGTAGTGGAAGCATGTGTCTGTAAGACAAGCTCCGCCACTTGGGAAAGGAAAGCTGGAGGCAAAACTGAGTTCTGTTATTAATTGCTAGAGGAAAATAATCCAGAATTCCTTTCTTGGGGAAACGAGATATCAAGAAGAGAAGGGAAGTAGGAAGAGGAGTGAGACTGTGATGGAAAAAAAAAAAAGCCAGAGAAAGAGAATATAGACATGTAGATCTCTTCCAGTTCCAGCCTACCATGGACTCTGTAGCCAGTCCCTTTCCTGGTACGTGAATCTCATTACCTCACTGCCTCGCTATAAAAGACAGAACTTTCTGGAGCAAGGTTAGGTCATCCTCTAGTTGAGAGTCCTCCCTTGCTGGACACTCAGATCATCTGCAGCCTCCCCATCCAGCACAGGGACCAGCCACACACAGCTGCCCATGGGCTCCCTCAGTCTTCGGTGTAGCACAGGTTTTTATCTGCTGCTCTCTAAGCCTCTCAGGGAGACAGCCATCTTTTTGTCTCCTTTACTGACTTTCTTTATTATATTATTAAGACCCAGTGACCAACACTCTCCTTGTTTCCTGTGTACCTTGACCTTGTTTGTCATGCAGAATTTCATCAAACTTAAGCTAGTAAATTAACAAAAAAAAGACTGGGTGAATATGGGAAAGGTACAATGATTATCATAATGAAAGATTACTTTGTATGGTAATTTTAAAAGTTAATAAAAATGGAAATAAACAAAAAGAGATTGAAGAAAATAAATGAAGGAGTGAGTGAACAAATGAATGAATGAATGAACGAACAAATACTGAAAATTTTGTTTCTAATCAAGCACTTGAGGTGGCTTGGGATTTTTATGATCTTGCTCCCCACCCTACAGCCTGGAAAAAGTAGAAGTTGAGAAATGCTTTGGGAGGAATTGACGAGGAAAAGGAGAATTAACATAAAGAGGAAGATGGGAATAGCAGGGAGAGAAGGAAAATGTCTCATGATCCCAAATTCAGCCTTTGGGTCGGTATCCACTTGTAGAGGAATGGTACTGAAAGCTTCCAAGATGCTAATGGGTCTGAGTCTCCTGAGTGAGTCTTCACCTGAAGATGCTTCAGAAATTTAAAGCTAGAAGACTAGAAAATGGAATGGAGCAGAACCTGAAATGGGATATCAGCAGCCTGGCTGGTGTTGGTTACCAGGAAATAATCAAAGACGACCTATAGCACCCCCACTGGACAGCCAAGAAAGACACAGTCCAGAAAGCTGGAAAGCCCAGATCAAGGATTGGACACAAGTTAAATTACTTCACCACTAAAGCAAACACCCTTAGACAGAAGACAGTCTCTGAAAGAAACATTCCTTTTACATCTGCCCTGGACAAAAGCCCCATGGAGCGACTTGAAAACTGCACCTTGTGGTTCAATTACATTTCTCAGGCTTACTCCTGTTGCGTTGAGTCTGTGTGGGATCCTAGTCTGACCATAGGGCCAGATAATCAACTGAGACTTCTCAGTCTACGGACAAGGGTGAGGAATGAAGTTAGATGGCAACTATATGAAGAGAAGTTCCAGAGGCTCTATAAAGCGTGCAGCCTATGGGTTCTTGTGGTAATGTGCACTGCTTCAAAGATGATGTATTCAAAGAAATCCTTCTCCCCATTCCATTTCATGTCAGCATTTTTCATGCTTGATCGCTAAGCACAAATAAGTTTCTTCCGCCTTTTATTGCTGCTTTTCATTAAATTGAGGTTTGCTCATTTGCAATTTGCTACACCAAAACCTTTACTTGTTCTATGTTACCCAAGAGAGTTAAAGGAGTGTCCTCAGATGCTGAGCTTATGCCCCAACGAATAAATCAAGTTCTGTCATCAGGAAACAGACTGTAATTTAAATATGCAATCTTCTTTGTTTGTTTGTTTTCTTTCCTTTTAATGCCTTAATGTCTTTAAAAAAAGTCAAGCAAGAAGTCTTAGCAATCTAGACAGCTACAAAACAAATAAACAGAACTGGAGGGAAATGTTACAAATCAAAGTAAAGCAGGCTTAACTGTTTTTGGCAGAGGCAAAGGGCAGCTTCTCCCTGTTGGGGAGTATTAAAAAGAATCCAATTCTCTTGGGCTCAGCAAGTAATTATTTACAGCAAAGCATCTATCCACATGGGTCAGCCCTCCTTTCTGCATCAGCAATCAGCAGAGCAATTAAAAAAAAAATCAAGTCCCAACACAAAAGAAAGCTGACTCATCCGGCCCCGTGTTCTCATGGGGCAGTGCTGTGGCCACTCTGTCCCAGCACATCATGCCAGCGACTAGGAGTCCCTGTTGAATCCCAGAACAACACAGAGTCACCCCCCCAAACAGCTCAACAAACTGTTCACAAGCACTGATCCTAAGAGTCTTAGTTAAAACAACAGCAACAACCATCATGAAGTTTTCAAAGAAACCCTTAGAAGAGAATTCAGAGTACCTGGCCCCAGAACGGGTTGATCTGGGCTAGGTCCTCTACCTCAGGGTGCGGAAGCTCATCTGGTCTCAGGGGTTTTAGGTCTGTAGAAGTGTTATTATCCACAGTCCCAGTTTTAGCATGGCTCCGCTCTCTCACTTTCTCCCTCCTGGAGCCGCTACGGCCAGTCTGCTGGTGGCTCTGCACTATCCTGGCCACCGCTTTATTAGCTCTTCTGCTCACCTCCATGTATTCATCTTGACACAGGCAAAATGGGAGGAAAAGCAAAGCCAGCAGGTGCCACCAGATGAGTTGCCTCCTGAGCATGGCTCACGACGGAGGGACAGAGTCTCCCTGGGAAGCTGAAGGGGGCTGTGTAGTTGCCGTGGTTGCTTCGGGCAAATGCCAGGTCTGGAGATGAGAGCTGCAGCCAGCCGGGTGGTTTTATACTTTCGGTGTGTAATAAATAAGGCTGCAGGCATGGCCGAGTGACAGCAGCCCTCCTCCTAGACGAAACAGCCCCATTCATCACATTCCTGCACAACAGGCAAGACAGTCTGTGTGCACGGCATCCAGTTGGTGGGGCTCAAAAATGTCACACCTTGGCATGGTATTTTTTTTTCTTTTTTTTTTTTGTATAAGAGTGAAGAAAATGTACACAACCAGCTGGAAACAGAGTGCGTGTGTCTAGTGGTTTGCTTTCGTGATTAGACATGGAAAGGCTGTGCAGTTGTGGTCTCAAATGACTTTTGGAAAAACCTACCCTCGAGCTTGCCAGGGAATTCAGCTCAGCTGTATCAGTTCCTGCAATCACAGCAAGGTCCCATTCAGCTCGATGGAGAGAGGTCTTTCTCTGCACAGTACAGTTTGCAGTTTCCTACTTTGGTCCACTGCAAGCAACATTCTCTCTTCCGGATAGCAGCAGCAGCCTTCAGTCGTTAGATGGGGAAATACCAACCTCAGTGCAGGGGCAAAGGCTGAGGTGTTTCCCTAGGCCAAGCTTTCTCTTCTTTTCCCTTGCATCTCTAAGAGCCAATGGTAAAAACCACGTTATCTAAGTCCTTGCTAGGTGGAAATACAGCCTACTTTTTTTTTTGTTGTTGTTAAAAGACATTCTCCTCTGGCTGATCTCTACCTATGGAATCTTGCTGAAAAATAAAACAAAGAGACATGGGAAACACCAAACCAAATTTACTCTTCTAAAAAGCTCAAGGTAGAGAGAATTATCATTTATTACAGTTCCTATGCTTTGAATGATTGAACCAGAGAACGAATGGACGTTCCTAATCTCTTTGCGGCAGTAAATTTAGAGGACTGATAGCGTTGCTTTTATTTACAGATCACTCTATCTGTTACTGCTCAGGGGGCTGCTGGCCCTCCCAGCTTGCAACTTGCTGCAATCCTGGACTCTTAAAGACTATGAGAGGGCTAGCATCTGATTGTGGGTGCTCACAGGAGGATCTAGAAGACAGTCAAGATTTAGAGAGAAGCCAAGGTTGCAAACCGAGCAGCCAGAAGGAATGAGGGAGGAACCTCCATTTCTGTCCATTTTCAGCAAAGGGGCTTGAGGACCAAATGCTGCCCCTGAACTGACCAAGCTGGAAAAATACCACCTTAGCCACCCACTCCTGACACTCATCATTTGCCCAACTGCCTCAAGAATCCAAATGAATCCAAAGAAAGTATTGGAGGCCAGTGATGGGGCTTTCCCATGAAATAAAACTTCCTCAATCACAATAGGGGGTTATGGGTCATGATTACTCAAAGCAGGCAGTTCTCACCTCCTGGGAAGCGATACCTCAGTTCACCAGTGTGCTAGAGTATCTCATATGTCTGCCATGGAGGCTTCTTTAAGACCACACATGCTTCAGAATTCCCTTCACTGACCTGGAGGCAGTCCTGGAGGACCACGGCCTGTCTGGGGACACATCAGTGGTGAAGGCTCAACTGTGGGTAAGAAGAATAGCCCAGGACAGTGTCTCAGTGGGATGCTACAACCTCAGAGAGACCTGGAAAAAATGTGATAAGACAAATAGGAGTTGTGAAAACTAGGTCATCTGACTCACTGATGTTCTAAAAGCTGTACCTAGCCTTCTCCATCAGGCTTGCACTGTCTGTTCCTTTGTTAATCATCCTCTCTTGACTTCCAGCCACATCAAACCCCTCATTACTGTTTCATTTCTGCCATCCATTCTGGTAGTTCTCAAACCTAGCTGCCCATTAAAATAAACCAGTGCCATGGTCTCACATCAGAACATTCAGTCACAATCTCCAGGACACTGGGGTATGAGGAGCTCTCAGGAGTCTCCCCCAAGATGAGTGAGGGCTAGGAGTCATTGATCCACACTCTTGTCAAGTTGAGAGGAATAAATTATCATGGCATGATTTGTCGATACCACATGCCGGCCAGTGGTTTAGTTCACTGACTTCTCTCAGCAAACCTATCTTCTCCATTTTATAGAGCAAAAATTAGAAGCTCACAGAGATAAAGTCAGTTGTTTAGGGATACACAGCCAGATAGGGTCATCTGGAACAGAGCCCATCAGTCTCCCTGTCTGTGCTCTCTGCCTTCCTACAAACTGGCACAGGTATGTAAGCATAGACTACCAGTTCCACAGCTGCCAGGGAGCTGGCCGTAACAACCGTCTCAGAGTGCCATGGGTTGATTGTGTCCATACCAAAGACAAAGATGGTATAAAATCCCCTAAACTTTTGATTATGAATTTATTTTGAAATGATGTTCTCATGGATGACATCAATAAAATCATCGGAGTGGGTCTTAATCAAATATGACAACTTTCTCATTTAAAAAAAAGACTTGGGGGAATCCAAGATGGCAGCAACCAGTGTGCACCGTATCTGAGGGGCAGAGGATCAGAGACTCTGAAACCAGTGAGTGGACAGCGGCTGGATCCAGAGCATCGACACTGGTGCTTCCTGGTCTAGAAGGGACATCCCAGGAGTTGGGATCTATTGATCAAGGTCCCCTGTGGCCTTCTACTGGGTCTGGGAGTAGCAAACTATGGGCCTCTTGTCCTTTCCACCTACTCCAGTGAGTGTGGACCTGCAGATCTGAGGACCCTGCACTCTAGCAGGCAGATATCAGATCCCTCCCACTCCCCTGAGGGCAGGGTCAGGATTCCTGGGACAGTGTCCCAGCCTCCAAGCCATAGTTCTGCTGGTCACCTGGTGGAGGCCAGGGGAACATTAGAATCACATGGATTAGGGATCCGAGATGGTGGAGCCCAGACCAATCTGAATTCCAGGAGTGTAGTGTCAGGAAGGCCTGTTAGCCAAAGCCCAGCTTTCGTCTGAGGTGTTCCATGGTTGCCACCCACACCAGAGCACTTCGGAGCACCCACACCTCCACCTGCACCCGCCCTTTGGAGCTTATGCACATGGGCCTTCTTGCTTTCAATGCAATGGCCCACCTGTGTCCTTGCCTGAACCCTGCCCTTCAAGACACTAGCACAGGTGCCCTGCCTTCTGTAGCTGCTTCCGAATCACCAGAGCCCATTTTCATCCCCTGGACCTCTCTCTTCTTTCTAAAGACTACTCCAGACTCCAAAGACAGACAGATGCAATCTGCAGTGCAGATTCTAGGAACAAACAGCCAAGGAAAATGGGTAAAGGCTGACAGAAGAACACAATCAACAAAAGACTGGACATCAAGGCTCCACCAGAATCCCCCCAAAACAATAAATACTTTCATGCAGCTGAAACACAGGAAAATGACTTTAAATCTATAATTATGCAGTTATTAGAGGCAATAAAGAGGAAACAAACAAGCCTTTCAAAGAAATACAGGCAATTACAACCAAACAAATAGAGGCCATCATAGACAGATAGGAAACCACAATCAAACAGGTAAAGGATATGAAAACAATTGTTCAAACATGAAAATGAAATTAATCAATAAAGAAAAGGCAAACCAAGTAAACCTTGGAGATGGAAAACTTAGAGAAGAGATCAGGAATCACAGAGGTAAGCATCACCAACAAAATACAAGAGTTGGAGGAGAGAATCTCAGGTGTTGATACAATTGAAGAAGTTGGTATATCTCTCAAAGAAAACATAAAAACTGAAAAGTTCCGACAAAAAATATTCAAGAAATTAAGGGAACCATGAAATGGTGAAACCTAAGATTAATAGGAACAGAGGAAAAAGATTCCAGGCTCCAAGGTCCAGAAAATATTTTCAAGAAATTCATAGAAGAAAATGTCCCCAACCTAAAGAAAGAGATGATCTTAAACACTCAAAAGGCTTATAGAACACCAAAATAGACTAGACCAGAAATGAAATTATCTCACCACATAACAATCAAAACACTAAATCTGCAGAACAAAGGAAAAATATTAAAAGTGGCAAGGGAGAAAGGCCAAGTAACATATAAAAGTAGATCTTTCAGAATCACACCTGACTTCTCAACAGACTATGAAAGCCAGAAAGGCCTGAGAAGATGCCATGCAGACACATAGACCAGAGATGCCAACCCAGACTACTATACACAGCAAAATTTTTAATCAACATAGAGGGAGAAAACAAGATATTCATGACATAATTAAATTTAAACAATATATAAGCAGCAACACAGTCCTACAGAAGATACTAGAAGGAAAACTCAACAAGATCAATTACACCCAAAAAACACATGATATAGATAACTTCACAACAACAACAACAAAAAAAAATCAAAAGAAAACAAGTACACTATTACCACCAACTTCACAATAAAAGGAGATAACATTCATTGATCACTAATATCTATCAACATCAATGGACTCAACTCTCCAATAAAAAGACACAGACTAACAGAATGGTTGCAGAAACAGGATCCCACATTCTGCTTTCCAGAAACACACCTCAGCAACAAAAATAGACACTACCTGAGAGTAAAGGGCTGGAGAAAGGTTTTCCAAGCAAATGGACCCAAGAAGCAAATAGGAGTACCTATTCTAATATCTAATAAAATAGGCTTTCAACCAAGGTTAATCAAAAGAGATGAGAACACATCATTCTCATCAAAGGAAAAATCCACTATGAGGACATTACTATCCTGAACATCTATGTCCCAAATACAAGGGCACCTGAATTCATGAAAGAAACATTTTAAAGCTTAAATCACCCATCTATTCCAACATATTAATAGTGGGAGACTTCAACACCCCACTCTCACCAAGGGACAGATCATCAAGACAGAAGCTACAGAGTGAAATAATAATAAGAAATCATGAATCAAATGGACCCAATAGATGCCTACAGAACTTTTCACCCACACACGAAAGAATATACTTTCTTCTCGGCACCTTACAAATCCTTCTCCAAAA